TTAAGATCTCTCTTTAAGATACAGATACATCTTAATGCAATTTTATATTAAACTTTTCAATTATATTTCATATACATATTTTGATGTCTGCTTAAGAATGATTTAAATCATCAAGAGTCATGTCCTGGCTTTCCCTAGGATTATTGTTCCCTGATTTTGGAGCTGTTTCAAAGTCAGGCTCCCCAGGAAGCAGAGATTGAGATTTGTGTGCAGCCACTTTACTGGGAAATGCCCTTGGAATGACCTTAAAGCAATGGAAGGAAGATCCCAAAGCAGGGACCCCTGAGCATGATGAAGGTGTAGCAGAGCCCTTGGCTGGTCCCGCTGGGACCTCTGAGCAGGTGACCCTTCTAGCTGTTTAGAACTGAGGCAGGGAGTGAGGCCCTTCTCCTACCCAAGGAAACCAAGGCACTCACTGCAAAGCAGGGAGAGAATGTGAGCTTGGGAATACAATTGCTCAGAGAAATTTTGGCTCTGGCTGGCATCCTATAGCATCTACAACTTTTCTCTTTTCTTGGCAGATGAACCCTAGGGCCTTGTAACCTGCTAAGCAAGTACACTACCATGGAGCTGCACACAAGATTTTCACTGTTCTTTTTATTTTTCTAATGTAGGATGGTCTGTCTGAAAAGGGTAGAATTCTAGAACTAAAATGACTTCCTATAAATTGGTCCAATTTACTTGGACCAATTTGCCAATTAGGAAAAGGATTCCAGAGAGGAAATAACATTTTGGGGAGATGCACAGTTGCTCTATGGCTACTCAAAAATCCAGTTTTTTGAAGGGGTCATATGTAGTTTCCACCATGCTGTTTTTCAATGATTTGGATCCAGAAACAAATGTTAATGGAGATAAGAATGCTTTAGGTCCACTGCATTCAGTAGACAGCTCCACAGGGGTGTTGAACTAAGTGTATTCTTTGGTGTGGTCATAACAGCATTACACGCCCGCTACCCATCGTCATACATGATGGGGTTTTTATCTCAGTTCAGCAAATATTTGGAGTGTAACAAGTGCCACACTTTGTATTACGCATTTGACTACATTTTGGGGAATAAAGTAAGTGGTTTCTGACCTTCTATCCTTTTCTGATGTTTCCCTCAGTGGAGTCCATGTTTTGGATATATGACTGCTCTGACTTTTCCTGAAATTACTTAGTCATGACTTCACTGACATTCACTCAAATTGTCCCCAAATTTTTATTGCTAAATATAAGGAAATCTTAAATGTACATAATAGATTATTTTCTTTAGATTTGGTCTCCAAAGTAGAATTACTGGGTCCAAGAAAATGAACAGGTTGAAGGTGTTTTGTTCTACATTGCCCAGTTTCTTTCCAGAGGCTTGATCTCACTCAAAACAAGCGTTCAGTGCATCGGTCTGTGGCCAAATACTGACTTGACCTTGGTGTTACTGATTCATAGCAGTCCCGGGCATCACATAACTCTTTCTGTATGTGTCACAACTCTCCCCAGCTGGCCAGTCTTCCAATTTTGATTATTGTACACTATACAAATATTGCAATAGTCTTATGACAATGGCTTTCCTCTTTGGAGGTTTTATCTGTCATTTATCTGCAGGTGAGCCACACTTCCTGTTACGATTTCCTTGCCAAAGCCTCCGCCCTGGGACTGACTGGTGGGGACCCAGGGTCTGGGCAGGATGACGCTTTCTGCCCCTTAGTTCCTCACCATGGTGAGGAGCTGAAGGAATTTGCAGGCCCGTGTCTTAGCAGGTTCAGATAGGTGGCTCCAGATAATGTGGAGCAGGAAGCCACATCCAGAATGGGCTAAGGAGGTGCAGGGCAGGCTGAGATGAGGCTGCGGGCGGGGACGCTGGAGTGAGGTCCCTGAGCGAAAGGTAGTCAGGAACCCAATGGTTGTGGCAAGAGCCAGAGGGGCCAGCTGTGCGAAATCTGACAATTGCTTTACGTTCTCATCACACTATGGGTTTCTACCTTAAGTCACGTGGTGGTTATCCATATGATTTAGTAAATATTTCTCACTGATTTCTAATCCGTTTTAAGGCACAAACTAAACTCTTACGTATAATGATACATCAAATCTCTTCTGTCTGGGTCTTTTCTTGGATTGATTGCACATTATTTTGAGTGTTAGTACTTCATAAAATATTTTACCATCTGGGCTCTCGTTTACCTTTTTTTAAATGAGCTTGATTTTCTTCTCATTCCAGTGTTGGGTAGCACCTCATCCTATAAAACGGAAGTGTTCCCTTTCTGACTTTTATTTCCTGGGATTTTCTTTGATGTTTTTGCCTATATTACACCCTTCCAGATAAACTCTAAAACCATTTTGTTAATCTCAGAAACACCTAAAGAAAGAAAGAAGGAAAAAATGAAAAAAATAAAAAGCTACAGAAATCATGAAATGCAGCAGATTGATAGCATTTATTTTTTAACCTAGGAGTGAGGCATACTTTTGTACTTAGGATGTTGATTAACATCTTCTTAAATTCTGATAAGCTGTCTTTATATTTACCAAAATGATTTCTTAGCAATTGAATATTTGTTAGCTGTGTTATATCAACGAATGAGATCTTTTCCTGCTTTCATTAGTACGTCTTCCTGGTTACTACTGCTCTGTGGAGAAGCTGTGGTTTGTTTTCTTTGTACATTTATTTCCTTTTATTAGTTTTGAGAGCCTTTTAATTTATTCCTTTGGATTTTCCAGGTATATAATCATATCATGTATAAATAATGATAATTTGGTCTGTAACACTCCAATAATAATTCTTTTTAAAAATTCATGTCTTATTGCATTACCCAGACATTCTAGAAAATATTAAATAATAATGAGTTACAACAAGTCAATTTTCTTTAATCTCTGATTTTAACAAGAATACCTGTAGTATTTTGCCATTGGCATTTATTTGTGGATTCACCCAACATTTGCTAAGCACATTAAACTGCTAGATTCTGTACGAGTGCTAGGCATACAAGGCCAAGAGGACAAAGCATCTGAACCAAGAATTTAAATGAATGGGTTTGACTTTGAACTAGGCATGCTGTAAAATGTCAAGTAATTAATCCAGCTATCTTGTTGCCAAAAGCAGAGCTGTCTTTAGTAGTCAGCCTTTCTATGGATTTATATTTGCTACTAGGATTTGGTAACATCTGGTGCTTTTATGAGACAATCATGAAATTCCCTCTATATGCCCACTGACAGATGAAAAGATACATTAAATGTGGTATACATACACAATGGAGTATGACTCAACCATAAAGGAGGATAAATTTGAGTCATTTGTAGAAAAATGGATGGTTCTTGGGACCACAGTGTTAAATGAAATAAATCTGACAGAGAAGGCTTCTCTGAGATACCCATAATGAACATAATTTAAAGAAGAAAACATAAAGATAGTAGGAAACAGGGAGGTAGGTCTGGGGACTGAGGGAGAGGGGAGACTGAGGGACTGAGGGAGTAAAAACGATCCAGATGCAATTTGTGTACCACTTCCCCAAGAAGGATGTCATTATCATGTATTGCAAACACATACAATAAAGACACATATCATGTTCATTTCCGTGTCAAAGTTGGTTGTGAAAGATTATTATTATTGTAAATTTTTTTTTTCCTTTTTGTATTACTAAGGATTGAATCTAGGGCTTTTGCCCTGAGCCACATCCCCAACCCTCATTTTATTTTTTATTTTGAGATGGGGTCTGGCTAAGTCACTGAGTTGCCCAGGCTGTGCTCAGATTTGCCATCCTCCTGCCTCAGCTTCCCCGAGTGCAGGGATTATGGGCATGTGGCAGGGTATCTAGCTATTGCAAGCTGTTCAGCATGTTCCTCATCCTGTAAACTCCTGAGGTGTCTGCAATGCTTACTTCTCTAAACTGGCTTTGGCTTGCATCTTCTTGAAGTCATCGCCTGGCATCCCCCTTGCTAAGAGGGAAGACGTCCTTTGTGAGACCGGTTGTGAGTGCAGGACTGTGTGGGAAGCGGGGCATTCTGAAGTGTCAGATGTGCAGGTCGGGAGGACTTCAGTCCTGTACTTACGATCAGAGTTAGAGTACTTCAATTACAAATAGCCCTGTGCACGTTTCTGAGCTGAGTGGACCGGCTGGCACTGGTTGTGGGGAGAGAGGGTGAACATGGTGTCACCTTTGGCCCCACACTGAAGGCTGCAGAGGCTGCTTCCAGCCCCTGCTTGCCTCCCCCAGCTGACAGAGGCCCCCCACATGCTCCTCTGAGGATCCCCTCCTGCGGCCCAGGTTCTTTGGGGAAGATGGACCCTTCCCCATCAGGTCACCTGCCCTCAGGTCACCTGTAAGGGGTCTGGAGGCTGCTGTGTGACCCATACAGGGCGGGGCTGGTGGTGTGGACAGCAGCGCCCTCACTCTGGACAAGCACAGGCACCTCAGTGCTGCTTGGGGTGACGGTAGGAACTGTGTCACCTAGGACGGAGGCAGCCTCAGGACAGAAGCAGTGGAAGGGGTGCGGGGAGCCTCGTGTCTTAGTCTGTTTTGTGCTGCTGGAGCAGAGGATGAGGATGGGTCATTGGTAAAGAATGGAGATTCCTTCCTCACAGCCCCGGAGGCTGCAAGGCCAAGATCCAGGCACCTGCACCCGTGAGGGCCTTCCCGCTGTGTGTTCACGAGTCAGGGAAGCAGGGCCGGCTGCCCCACGAGCCCTTCTTAAGGTGACAGCGACCCACTTACGAGACAAAGCCCTCAGGGCCTGAACGCCTGCCTCCCAGCACCACTGCTTGACCGACCAGAGCAGGCCAGGACCCTGGAGCGCACGGCCAGGCCACAGTGCCCGGATCTGAGCGGATGGGCCCCCTGTCCCTGAGGCCGTCCTCCTCTGGACTCGCACACAAGCTCGCCCCTTCCCTTTCTGTTTGACCAGATGAGCTGCATTTTCTATCTGCACAGAGCCACACTTCCCTGAGGTCTTTGTCTGCTGATCCTCTGCTCTCTCTGCATTGCAGGGCCTGGGTCGCACACTGACAGGTTGTACAAAGGCAGCAGCCAACAAGCTCTTTACAAAGTGAAGCTGTTTATTGCTTATGATGAGTCTAACAGGCAAAATACTAACCGGCGGGGCTGTCATACCTACGAAGTGATCTTTGTGAAAGGAATGCCTGCGTGGAACTGAGTGCTGGAATGAAATTCATGCATCCGTTTTCCTTGAGGTTTCACTTCCCCTTTCCTGGGTGAAGAGGAGCAGGCCAACAGCCCCAGCCCAAACTGGTGGAGGGTCTGCCTTGGGGGCCACACGCCGTCTGCCCTGCACGGCTCCATGGCTCCTCCGCACCCGCACCCACTCGGGTTCACTGCGCATAATCATGGATTTTTTCTCAGAGAAAGCAGAGTCATGGGTCTTGAAGAAAGAAGTCATATTTCTTTTTCTTACAAAATGAGATGAAAAAATAAATTTAAACACACTTTTCAAGTGTCCCTCTTCCTTAAACTTTATATATACATACACATATATACGTTACAGCTCTTATTTTTCTTTATCAACATACTTTACTTAGAACTTTAAAAAATAAACTTTCTGGGGGTACCTCTCATTTCCTGTGTTAGCCTGGAAACATTTAAAAATATATCTCCCTAGAACTCTTCTGTGCAAATAATAAACATAAATATTAACATCTATGTTATACATATAAAAAAGGACATTTTAAGGTTTCCACAGAGGCTGCCGGCCCGTCGTCCCTTCGGGTGATCTAGAGGTACTCTGCAGTCTGTCTCTGCAAGCCGGACAGGTCCGGCTCTGGCTGCGGGGGATTGGACAGGAACTCACTGTCCCTCTTGTCCACATGTAAACTACTTCTGGAGAACCGCAGGACACTGCCCAGCCCGCTGACCAGCGACAGGGAGGACACACAGCCAAGCGAGCTGAGGTTGGGTAGGCTGAAGAGGGACGACAGAGGCACCGCCTGGCTCGTGCCGAGCCGCTTCCTCTGGTGATCCCTGGGACACTCTCCTGACACAGCCTCCCCCGCCGTGGAAGACCCCGGGGACTCCAGAAGGTTGTTCTCTCTGAGCGGCATGCTTGTGTCCACAGCGCTGGGCTCCCCGCTGGCCTTGGGAGAGCAGGCTGGTGGCTGCTGCATGTGCGGGGAGGTGTGCAAGGCACAGTCCCTAGAGGGGGACTCGGAGGGGTTCCCAGTGCTCCCTCGGGAGAGCTCAGTCTTTGGCTCTCTTGGCAGGTGTCCCTGAGCAAAGGTGTCTTTGGGAGTCTTGGGTGACTTGTGGCATTTCTTGGCCAACTGGCGTCCCAGCTGCAGCTGGGTAGGGAACAGGCTTCCCTGGAGGGCTTTGAAGAATAATCTGGAAAGAGCACAGAAGGAGAAGTCAGGAGCTGCCGCTGCAGGAGGTGCCTCGGAGCTTCCTGCGGCTCCACAGGGCAAAGCCACAGTAACGCACACATGCCTAGGCTCAGCCAGGACTCCAGGGTGCTGTCTCTGATACCCACCTGGGCAGCAGTGCAGTGACAGGTGTTACGAGGCAGATCAAGTAAAACACAGGGTCTCCCAGTAACGTCTGCATGGTCCAGTAAGGGTTAGATGGAGGATAGCAGGTTGAACAGGCAGAATTATAGATCAAAGCCACCACCAAGAATAAAAGGATACTGAAGCCACACGCCATCCAGTTGAGCCAGGTCTGAGGGGAAACAGAAAAGGCTTTTATTTCAACTTAAAAGTGGTGACAGTGGTGGAGAGAAAAAGCGTGAGTTGTTCCTGAGCGGGTGGGAGATCCTGACGGCTTAGGAAAAACTGGGGGTTTCTTTGCCATGGGTGGCTGGTGGGGCTTAGCGAAGCTTCAGGAACCAACCGGGGACAGGGACGTGAGAGCAATACAGGAGACCAGGGGAGAGAGTGTTGGTGAGGGACAAGGGACGAAGGGCGGGAGAGGCAGGAGGAGCTGAGAGCTGCCCTGGGCCGTGGGTGGGGGCTCTGGCAGCTCCCATGCTGGGGAGCTCCAGTCCAGGTTGTCTTCATTCTTGTCACGGGGAGGCCAGCGTTTGGGGCTCCTGTCTGCTCAAAGAAACGAGACCTCCCGGAGCCTGCCGGGAAGTGGGGCCCGCAGCATGGGCCCTCAGGGATGTGACATGAGAGGCAGCGCGTACCCAGGTTTTGGTTTCAATACCCAGGTGCAGGAGGAAGGTGAGCAGTGCGATGGCTGTGATGGGGGTGCCCCAGGTGAACACGTCCACGTCGGAGTCATAGTAGGCCTGAAAGACAGCAGCACCCCATGTCCGTGGGCCCCTGGATGTGGGTACAGGAAAACCACGCTGGAGGCCAACTTACCAGGTAAGGAATGAAAAAGCAAATCAAGCTCTGGAAGGCAGCGTCGACCATGTTTAACCAGAAAGCGCGCGGCCGGTATTCCTAGGACACAAAAACGAGAAGGGAGATTACAGGGAAGCGCTTCTCTCTCCAGATGATGTTCTGTGGGATGTGAGGGCCCTTGGCACACCTCGAGCCACTGGAGGAAAGCTTGCTATTCGGGGCTTTGGGAGGGATGAGGCCCCAGATGGTAGATGAGAAGCCAAGTGCCTGTGGAACCGTTCGCAGCTGAGCTGCAGCTTCTGTATCCAAAAACGAGCTGGAGTAGGTATAGGCCAGCAGTAAGAGGAAAGTACTCTCTAAACCTTGCATGGGAACATTTCCCCACAGCAGGAAGAGACCTGAAGTTCTAGATGTTCTCGCCTGACATAAGCCCTTCTCTTCTTTCCATGCTCTACTTTGCCAGGGCTTTGTGGTGAGTCCCTTAGAAGGATTCTTAAAGGTGTTTCTTAAATTTTTAAATTCCATGATAGATGGGTCCTCTGTTAAAAGTGAAAAGCAACTGCTATGATTTGGATGTGGTTTGACCATGGCCTCCAAAGGTTCATAGATTGAAATTTAATCCCCACTGGGAACGACGAAGGGGGGTGGAAACTTAGTCTGACGATAGATGGGGTGAAGTTATCAAGGTGGAGACCCCGGCATGGAGTATTTATGGCTTTGTAAGGAGACCAGAGGAGACAGCCACTCAGAGCTTCCTGCCTCGTGCCACAAGATGCTCTGCTCTGCGTCCAGATGCTGCCAGCAACAAAGTTGTCACCAGGTGCAGCTCTGCCACCTCACACCTCTAGGACCAGGACCGAAACATGCCTCTTCTTAAATAGCTTGCTTCGGGTCTTTCACTACAGTGGCGCCAGGCAGACGAAGATGACTATATACCCACAGGCAAAAATAACCTTGACATAGGCATACTGAGGTTTCGTTTCCTGGGTAACCACACTTGTATTTAACCCTGCTAAATTCCGAGTAGCTGGCATGGACTTTTCCCTGCAGGAAATGCAGAGGGGACGAGGAGCATCTACCAGCACGTCAGGAAAGTGCCGGCCGTCTCCTCCTGCTGGCCACCTCACTCCACACGAGAGACTTGCAGCGAAAGTTTGGCTGGCTGAGGAGATGAACAATACGATTTTCCTAGATGACAGATGTCAAGCTGCACCTGTCTAACCCCAAGCAGCCTGCTCCAGTGGGGAACAAATGTTCACAGAAGTGGCCAAGGGATGTTAACGTGCAAGGGCATGAATCCTGAATTGGAGATTGTTGCAGGAGGAGGAGGGTGCCAGTCTTCTCGCATGCTCAGAAATACTCGGGTGCCCTGCTTGAATGGCTGGCTGGAAGCAGCTGATCCTTAGTGTGTGTATCATGGGGCTGAGGTCAACATATATTTACATCTGTTTGTTCTTTCAGTGGTTTGATGGTTTTCCCTACGTGTCTGTCTGCTTTCAAGTCCCACTGAAAAGAACTTGCTCTGGCTGGCTGTAGAGGACCCTACTGAGCCTTAGCTGTCACCTGTGACTGACTCAGAGTTGGGGTGGGCTCTCGAGACGCCTGGGTGGAGAGGGCTTTTACCTTGTGTATTTACTGCGTGCCATGGTTGAGCTGCCCAAAGGTCCGTGTGTGTGTGTGTGTGTGTGTGTGTGCGCGCGCGCGTGTGTGTGTGTGTGTGTGTGTGCGCGCGCGCGTGTGTATGTGTGTATGTGAAAAGCTGAGTTCCCAGGGAGGCACCACTGGGAGGGGGTGGCGCCTTCAGGATGGGGCCCAGTGGGGTCCTGGGCCTTGGGCTGTGCCCTTGAAGGAAAGGTGGGAGTGAGTCTCTTGCCCTTGGCTTCCTGGCTCCTGACGTGAGCAGTTAGTTCCCCAGCCCTGCCATCCACCACAGGGCTGCAGCAGTGGATCTGCCCTTTTAAACCATGAGCTATCTAAACAAACTTCCTCCCTAACAAGTTAATGTTCTCAGCGACATCACCACTGCAACTCCGGGGAATGTGGCGCACTGCAGAGGCCAGCAGACAACATTCACTTTTCTCACCCCAGGTCAGTTCCACAGGGTGTCTGTTAAAGGAATCTTGGAGACATGCACTTTCTGTGCACTTGGGTACTGAGGGCCAGGAACCAGGGGGTGGGGCAGCCACTCAAAGCCTACCTCCATCTTCTGGCCACTCTTGTAGAGCTGCGGCTCCAGCAGCAGCACATCTGCCGACACGTCCTTGTCTAGCACCCCAGTCACGAGCTGGGGAAGCGATGAGAAGAGCAGGTTGAAGAAGATCAAATACCACTGATCAATCATGGCGGACGCCGAGAAGCCACAGTAAAACTGGAACCAGAACAGGAGGCCCACGAACATCTGCAGCCAAGAGAGAGAGAACAAGACCAGGGTATCCTTCGCTGCCCTCACAGATTCCCACCAGAGGGCTCTGAAAGTTTGGCAGTTTTTCTGTAAAGGTAAAATCAACAAGCAGCGATGCCCTCTGATCATAGCTCTGCTGCTGGCCTCTGTCTCTCCCTCTCTGCTTTCCCCAGCCCTTCCTGGTCTCTTAAGCCCCAGGGATGCAGCAGCCTTGGGACAGATGAGGTTTTATGCCTGAAGAGCTGTAGATCGTTAGTGTAAAACAGAATGAAGGTTTGGAAGGGTGGGCTAGGGCTGTGGCTTCTCTCTAAGACCACTGTGCCTTTTGTGCCCCCAACAAAATCTCCCTTGGCGACATCCTTGTCCCCCTTGTTAGTCACCTTGCCTTTTCAGTGAGGAGCACAGACGGTTACTACTTCCATGGAGTGGAAGACACAGAGAAGCAAGCACATCAGCCAGACAATGATGCCATCAACACTGACCCAGCTGAGCCTTTGCTACACACTGGCCCACTGCTGGCAGGTGGCGGCAGGCATTATCTTCCATCCTGGCAGTAGGAGTGGAGCAGGGAGGCTGGACCATCTCCTCACACCCAGTAGGAGGGGGAGCCAGGAGGGGTCTTTCCCCAGGATTCCTAAACCGCTGAGAACCGGTGGCTTCCCTGAGTGCCATCTATGGGCACATGGCAGTTTAGCAGCCACAACTCTAATGACTTGGATCTTGAAACCCCTTGATGGCTCACGTGTTGAATGCTTGCTTCCCGGCCCGTGACGCTATGCGGGGAGGCGGGGCTGGTGGAAGGAATGAGCTCATCGCGGCTGTGCCTTGAAGGGGGCATTGGTCCCCTAGCCTCCTTCTCTCTCTTTCTTTGCTTCCTGGCATCCATGAGGTGAGCAGCTGCCCCTGCCACATGCCCTGCCACCCTGCGCTGCCTTGCCACGGGACTAAAGGCCACAGGACCGAGCTGCCATGGACCGAGACTTCTGAAACTGTGAACCAAACTAAGCCTTGCTCCGTACAAGCTGTTCATCTCAGGGATTTTGTTACAGTGATCCAAAGCTAACGCAGAGAACAGCCTACATTTAGCTCCAGGGAACTGACCATTCAGCCCTTGCTGCCTTAGTTTCCCTGTCCATGACCCAGGTACCCCCGTGACACTTAGCCATAAGGTTGTTGGGAGGACTGAAGGGCCCATGCACTAGTAGTGCTCCCCAGGGCTGCTGACACACTGCCAGGTGCTCCCGCAGCATGCTGTTGGTAGCGAGCAGGATCCTAATTTCCTTTGTTAGAGGCTCACGCACAGCCACTATTTTTACCATTTAGAGGACACCGAGGTTCCAAGATGCAAAATGATGGACCCAATTTGTGCAGCTATAGATGGGTCTCAGACCAGGCTCAGGGATGGCTCCATGGGGAACCTGGTGCCATGGACGAACGTTCTCTGCTGGGCACTGCCAGCCTGGGCTTTGGCTTTGGCGTTGTGGTTATCTAACACCTTTGACCTTGATTCAGTTCTTTAACCTCCCCCAGCTTTGGTTTCTTGACCCGAGGGATTTTTGTTGTGAGGACCAGAACAAATGCCAGGCTCTCAGGGAAACTATGACGACATGTGTCCTCCAGGTCTGGTTTCAATCTGTGATGAAAATCTCTCGACTTTCCCCCTCCTCACCCACAACCCACAGACTTGGACTTTTCACTGACTTTCTTTCTTTCCTTCTGCCCACGGCTGACTTTCTTTCCCACGGGCTCAGCCTAATGAGTCATCCGTGAGCAAACAGAGTCAAGGGAAAGAGGAAGAAGAGCACTTAGATAATTGAGATTCTGTCTCCTGTGGTACCAAAGAGCTTTGTTTCCAAACCACTGTTGCTATGGAAACCCTTCTTCTCTGCTCTCTATTGGAAAGGAAGGCCAACTTATTCTTAAAACTAATGAAGCTCTCGTGGTAGGAGGCAGCGTGATTATCCTGACCTCGCATAGATGGATGCTTGTTAACAAAGGCCCTGCTTCTCATGTGGAATAAACACAGGTGTCCCTTCCCTCCCTGTGCCCTCCAACAAGGATGGGCTCCCCAGGTGGGCGGGAGGATGTGCCCATCCCTGACGGCCACTCTGGGGCTGTGCTCCGACCCAAGATGTTGAATGGAGTGATCCACATCGTTCCTGCCATCCAGTCAATCTGAGAAATTTTAACTGGGCATTTCAGAAATCAGCCAGTTCAATCCTAGGTTTGTTTCTTGTTTTTCATGTTAAAAAAATCTGAAGGCAAATATATACGGATATCCAGCTTACAATATTCAACAGGAGTTTTCAACTTTACAAAGCAATGTACTTTCAGCAGAAACTTCACTTTGAATGTAGATCTTTGCTTAGGTGAGAAATATGTGGCCAAAGCCTCTCTCAAAATTTGCTTAGGTGAGAAATATGTGGCCAAAGCCTCCCTCTGGGGAGGTAGTTTAGGGTAGAAAGCTGGCTTAGCATATGTGAAGCCCAGGAGCCCTGGATTTAATCCCCGGTAAAACACACACACACACACACACACACACACACACACACACACACACAGAGGTTGGGCATTGGCTTAGAGTTCCTAGTCAAGCACAGGGTCATGAGGGGAAACAGCAGAGGCTCCACAGTGCATGGGGTGCTAAGCTATGATGTTAGGGAGGCTGTGTGCATTCACCGGAGTTTCAACTTCCAATATTTTCAGCTTGTGATGGGTTTACCAGGGCAAAGCCCCCTTCATAAATCAAGGAGAATCTGTAACTTGCTTAAGACCCCACTGCTTACAAGGGACAGAAATGAGGCTGGGTCCCTCCACTCCCAGAGGAGTCAAAAGCCTCTGGAGATTAGTGTGGAGGAGGGGCTAGCACAGGCAGGACAGTGCAACGTGACCTTCCTTGGATACAGGCCCAGGAAAAGTCCAAATTAATTTCCAGGATTAAACCTCTCCAATCAGACCAGCCTGACGGGTGCTGAGCCTCTGTAGCCATTTGCTAGAAGATGTTTTGAAAATCAGGTGAGAGGGTGGGTGCCGAGAGGGAACAGAAAGGTAGGTGCCAGCCTCCAGAATGAAACATTAAGAACATGAGCAAGAGGTATACTCATGGCAGCCCGGTCAGCAAGGGACTTTCATATGCAATTAGAAAAAACCACACCTTTCAATATATTCTTTTTCAGAAATGTACTAGATAATGCTGACACTGGAGTGCTGGTGCCTAGGAAGCTGGATCTGGGGGACTATGCGGGACGGTCACTCATCCCAAGAGTTTATTTCGCATCCTTCTTGGTATACTGGGCCATGAGTTATCAGAGACAGAGCTACGACCAACAGCCCAGCGAGTGCTCAGCAGAGGATCCAGAAATCTCTTCCAAGTAAGCAGAGTTCTGGGGTGGCATTGGGGTCCATCCTGCAGAGCCATGCAAAAGGATGCATTGCAGAAACTCATTACCCAGGGAAACAGGATTCAACACTGAGACCCACATGAAACTGACCAAGCAGGTGCTGTATTCAAAGCTCCTAATCCGGATTAGGTTCCCAGGTTCCCAGCCAGAATTGTCCACAGCCAGTCTGCTGTAGAGATGAACTGCAGAGGGAGTCAGCCAGCACAGGGCGCACCGTTCTCCAGGCCCTCCAGAGTTGGGTCACTGCTCCTGCCCTGGCTGCGGACTTGCCTGTCAGACCCAGGGTCGGTGTGTCTCTGACAGACACCTGTCAGTACTGGAATCTGAGCATAACCAAGAAACCCGACACCAAGACCACCAAATGCATTTCTGCTCATCCTTTGATCTTCCCTGATGACTCTCAAAGGGGTGATGCCCCTCTGTGCATACCCCAGCAGCAGGCTCCTGAGAAACATAAGGACAGCAGCAGAGAGCTTGGGGGTGCCCGCTGATGATCAGGGTCTGCCTAGCTCACTAGCTGTGTGACCCTGTGTAAACTGCGAGCTTCTGGACAACGCTGCTTCTCACTAGGAAGTCACGTGAACTTTCGCCTGGTTTCTGCCCCTGTGTCTGACCTTCCAGGGCAGAGGTGCAGCTACTCTCAGAGCCCATGGGGTGCACAGCCAGGCCAGCACTAGGGGACCTTCGCAGACGTCAAGGAGGACAGAATGGACGGGAGGCCTGGGAGGCCTCTGGCCTCATTCAGGTGGTGTCTCTACAAGCCCCAGACCTTCTGCCTAAACATCTCCCAAGCCCAGTGTCTAATACCTACGGTATTTTTGTAGAAGAAGTAGAGCACCATATTGGCTAGTCGTGAGTAGCACCAATGTCCGTGGACGATTAGGAGTCTTTCCAGGTACCGGAATTTCGGCACTGCGAAATCGCTGGCCATCACTGCCTTGAAAGGGAAGGAATTCCCATTATTGGTGACGTCTCACGAAGCACGAGATCTGTCTTATCTCCCCCGAGCATGAGTCAAAGCATGGAAGGAAAAACCCAGCTTCACACACGTGTGAAGGGTGGCTTTACCGTCCGTTCCTTTGTCATCTCTTTCAATTAAAAACACTCTCACAGACGCTTTTGTTTAGGGATATCAAGTTACAAGTTAATTTAAGGCTTCTGAAGCTAGGTGCATAATTGATGAGTTTTATACATTTTTGCGCTTTTGTTTTTCCACACTGTTCTTTGATTGGCTGCAAACCCAGAGATCCATGGTGTCACCCTGCCCTTCCTCGGCCCTGGGGGACACGCTGCTCCACACCATGCCACCACCTCAATGCCAAGACGAGCCGGAGCTCCGTCTCGGGGGCATCAGAGCTAGATGTTCAGCTCTCCTGGGAGGTGCATTTAGGGCTATTTTCTCTAGACGGATACATAGTTGTTCTACTGTACTTTTTAGGGGAAAATGACGAGAAAAAAGTTTGTTTACGTTCGGCAGAGGCATTTTGTGCTCCTATGTTTACCATCCACAGCTGTGTGAAGCTGTGCGGTAGGTGCGGTGCCCACAGATAGAGGCCAGCTTGGGCCCAGCCCCAGCGTTTCCCCGCCCCTCACCCGCCTTCGTCTCGCCCGAAGCACTGCTGCTGCACATCCCTCTTCCTGCACCGCAAGCTGAGAGGGGAATCTGCATCTGACTCACTGTTGCCTCTGCACAGCGCCCCCTGCAGTGCCACAGACGTGAGCAGCTCAGGAAGCACGCGCTGAGTGAGGGAAGGAAATAACTCATTTTGGCTTTTTCAGCATTGCCTGTTTTCACTATTATCTGTAGTGAAAAGCTGACTAAGGCAGTGCTTGCCAATCTCACGTGCAAAGAAGCTCAACAGATAAATACCTTTTCTATCAAAGACCCAATGTGGGCGCTCGTGTTGGGTTGGAGACCCGGCTGCCCCACCGTTCCTCTCGGCCAGGCAGGAGCACGGCCCCTGGCTGAGGGATCTGTGACTTGAGCACAGGCCCTGCGTGCAGCTGGGTGCTGGTGAACCGTGCAGCTTCCTAAAGGCTGCCTTTGGAGGCTGTGTTATATACGACGCTGCTACCCATTTGTGTTTTGGCTGCTTGGGTTTTTTAGGTGACTATAACCTCATCACCTGCATTTTAGTCCCACAGCTGAGGCCGCACAGGCATCTGGGGTCGGGGCTGAGCCCTGGAGGACCAAGAAGCATGAGCAGGAGCTCCATCCCAGCCCACAGCAAGGCCCTGGCCCATGCAGGGAGCTAGGAGGACAACAGAGACCCCTCGTCTCCTGAGACGCTTCGTTCCCGTGGGCTCACCAGGTCTGCTGCGCTTTTGTTGGAGCCCCGAGCCCCAAGTCCTGAGGTGCAGAGTGGTCATGTCTACTATCCCAGTTCTGATGGAGTTTCCAGAACAGAGGGAGGCTTTACAAAGGCCATGTTGACAGTGGGACAAGCACTGTGTTTGGGGCTAGAGCATGAGGGATGGAAGGCTGGAGAGTTCTCAGGGGTCGGGATTTCTCCTCCGAAGACCGTCTATAGGTCTGCCTTGGAGCCTGGTTAGTCTATTTTCATTTTTTTTCATCTTTATTTTTGTGGCATTGGGAGTTGAACCCAGGGTCCTGAACATGCTGAGCAACGCTCTTCACCAAGGACAGGCATTGTGTCTGACAGTCTCTGCGTCTCCAGATCTGTGCTTGACAACAGTGGGTTCTTGACTAATAGGATGAATGAGTGAAGAATGAAAGAACACACAAAACCTTTTAAGCCCTTCCTGTGTGGACAGGAAGAGGCACCAGGACATGTGCTTGGATATTCTTGACAGCTGGTTCACAAAACCTAAGGTTTCTGACTTCTCAGTTCTGTGCAAACCTCTTCTGTATCTGAGGGGTCTGTGTCTACAGGTGCAAACAAGTTGGGGTGGAAAATTTTGGAGAAAAAGTGTATCTGTAGCGAACATGACAGTAATTCTCCAAACAGCATCATGACTGATCACATAGCACCTACATGCTAAGTACACACTAAGAGTCACCGGTTATGCTGTAGATAGATAGGTGGATATGCCCAGGACATATGCAAATACTGCATCATTTTAAGTAGAAGGCTTACACACTCATGGGCTGTGGTGTCCATGGGGGTCCTGGAACCAATTCCTCTAGACACTGAGGGCTGACTGCACTGTGCTTCCAGCGGGGACCTTCAACCTCGCTGAACTTTACCATCAAATAATAAAATTAGTAAGCCACAGGCCTGGCACACAGCAAGTGCTTAATAAATACTTACTGAATGATTCATCAATACATATCGGATGATGGCCTGATTTTAGAAAAATGCTGAATAAATGGTTCCTAAGGTCTCCATCAAGTTCAAAAACGCTATGATCCAAGCTTGATCCCATGTTGGAAATCACTGCAATATGACCTCCAAAAGCGGAACATTTTTAATTAGCTCCTGTATTCCACCTCTGAAACGTCAAGCACTGACAAGGTGACAGAGGAGCAGCACAGACGAAGCTGCAAGTCTGTCTCACGCCCGTCAAATGGCCACGTCCCACGTTTACAGTGACAGCCGTTCCAGTAGGACCACAGCACCACTGGTGTCGAGGAACAGTAAGCAAAGAGTGCTTCCCGGGGATGAGCCATCAAGAGCCGGGATGCAGGCGATGACTCACCTGCCTCGCTCCCACCCACTGTTCCCCAGAGGTGTACTTGTGCAGACACAGGCAGCCACACATCGCTTGATCCCACGTTGGAAGTCAACACATGTGCAAGTGTTGACTGCACATCGCTTCATAAATATGAGCGTGATTGTCCACCTTACCTTCTCCTACTGGCACAGCAGAACACAAGGATTTGCTGTATTCAAGGCAAAGCCCTGTCGGTGTCACACAGAGCCAGAGCAGGGCCAGGGCAGCTCCATGGCACGGTGGGACAGAAGCCAATCAGTGAGGGCCCCTGGGGCCTCCAGGCCAGCCCGAGTGGTCTTTACCTGCATGCCCTCTTGGCCAGAGATGCCGACGCCTACATCTGCCACCTGGATCATGCTGACATCGTTGGCTCCATCACCTAGAACCAGCAAGGCAGGGCGCACTGCTGAGTGGAGACGTGGAGATCTGCCGGGTGGGCCCGATCGGGTCTTGTTTGGTTCCCAGTGGGCTGGAAAGTGCCCTAGGGAAGTTGGGGGAGGCAGAGCAGCACCCTGGCCGGGAGAACCGCGGTCAGCATGGACCATGGTGGGACGTCTGGGTTGCCGGCCATAGCAGCAGAGGCCCTCCCTGCGGCAGGCTGGGGATGAGCACCTTGCAATCTGTGCCCTCGAGACAGAGCTGGCTCCTACGCAGAGTCCGCAACATGGGTCTGTCCTGGTGGGTACTGTCCCCCCACTCCCGTCATGACCACAGCGACTCAGCTTCTCCAGCCAGGCAGCCAAGGTTACACGGATCCACACCCACAGGAGCCATTTTCTAAACTGAGCGGAGGAGGTCACATTCTGCCCAGCAACCGCAGGGGGCTTTTTGTCCACTGACTACCATCCAGCGCATTCACCACCCCGCACACCTGTCAGCCTTCTGAGCCTGTGATAAAGGAGAACTTCTCCTTACCCTCAGGGCGCTGAGAGACAAATGTTTGTGAAGACAGGGTCAGGGAAAAGCGAGCAGAGACAAAGAGGTCACTGTCACCCTGGGACAGTGACCATTCTTGGGTCTGGGTAGCTGAACAGCGCCAATCACAGAGAACACCCAGGACGGACCAAGGGTCAAAGATGCAAATGCACAAAGTCAGAGTGGGTCAGAACATGGCTCACAGGATGCCTCCTTCCTGGGGTTTTTCTGTTCCTCCCTGGGTTAAGCCCAACACAGGTGATCAGTCAATATTTGTCACACTGAAGCTCTGCAAAGCAATAAAAATCCCTGCAGCTTCCCCAGAGTGTCCCATTCAAATGAGCTATGGCTCACAGCGATGCTTTCTGCAGCACAAACTGCTGGCACTGAGAAACCAGCAGAAGCGCTCCCAGGCGATTCCCTTCCCCTTCTCCTCTGAGAGTCTCTTTTGCTTTTTATTTTTTAAGTACCACACACCGATGGCCATGCGGCAAAGCCAGGCCCTGATGAGGCCGTGGAGACATTGTTTACAGTTCGCGTCTCTCTGGCCTTTCGAGATAGTTCTCGCCCTCGGAGTCCCAGTGCAGGACAGGAGTGCAGGGGGGAGGGGTGTGCAGTGGACACAAACTGCAGACCCCTCAGCTCCTGACTCTCACACTTCAGCAGCCCTGAAGCTCACTCCAGGCACCGGAAAGCAAAGATGGCCCAGGAAGCCTCTCCCAGGAAGGGACAAGCTCATCTCTGCAGGGCCAGGGCCCCCAGCCATCTATGCACTCCTCCTGAATATGGGGTGCCTGGGTAGGTGGGGACACGTCTCCATGACAACCATGCTCAGGCAGGGACCTCCTCACCGCCACGTGCTGGGGCCCAGTACTGGCCTCCTCCACTGTACTGAGTACCCATAATGACAAAGTGGTGCCCCCGTCTCAGTAAGGAGGCACTGCCACACACCTTCTGCAGCAAATGCTGGACTCCTCAGTGAGTGAGGACCCATGACTGTGGGTACGGTCTCTATGGCCAACTTTCAACCAGGTGGAGATCTAATTATAGCTGGTATCGCAGCGTTCACCTCCATCCCAGCCGTCACCAGGAGGTGGCCCTATGGAGTCCCTGAAGTCCCTGAACTTGTACTAGAAACTCACCTGATCTCACCTGATGCAGAAGTGGGTGCAGAGGCTGCCTTAGAAGACAAGTGGTCACCACGTTGCCGCTGAGGAGCGTAGCAGGCTCTCCAGGCCACTATCTTAGGGTAGTTTATCTAATGCGATGCTTGTTTCAGAATGATCAGCAACACTGAGCTGATGAGAAGTGGGAATTCTGGCCATGGCTGACTCAGTCCTTACAACACCATAAAGACACTGACCCCAGGAATCTCTCCAAGGGCCTTTTTTCTAAATTGGGCCAGGCTAATGCCAGCGTATCAGTCCTTCCCTGTGGCTGGGACTTCCTCGGTTGGGCAGGTCTCTACCGTCCTGTCTCCAGGAAACAGCGTAAGCACCACCGGCCTTCCTCGGTTAGCACTGCGCTGTTGGCCTCAGAGCAGGTACCCTACCTGCTACTGTTTTCATGGTTTTCCAAAGTAGGTTTTCTATTTGGAACACACTGCCCATGTTATCACACTGGGTGTGATTTTATACGTGGGGAAAAGGTGAGAAAGGCTTTTTCTGTTTTATGCAGAGCGTGGAAGAGAATCAAAACCCCAGGCTGCCCAGAAGCAGCTGCTGAGCGGGACAACTGCAGGGACAGGCCTCGTCCCCCAAGCCCGGACACTCACCTATGGCCAGGGTCATGGCTTTGAGCTTGCTCCGGACCAGCTTCACCACCATGCTCTTTTGCAGCGGGGTCGAGCGACAGCAGAGCACGGAGCGGCACTGCTTGGCGAGGAAGAGGAATTTGTCCTCCAGGTTCTTCTCCAGGGCGTAGGCCAGGCTCCTCCCGTCGATCACGAGGCTCAGGCTGGGGCCCGAGACAGGGGACTTGGAGGCCGAGCAGAGAGGGAAGAGCCCCACGCTGACGTTGCCTTCGGTCTTCTCAGGGGTGCTGTGGGGGGCCCTGGACTGTGCGTATTGTAGGCACTGTTCGAGCAGGGCTGCGCATGCTTCCTGGGATGGACAGAGGGAAGTTTAACTGGGTCACGTCGCAGAGCCCAGGCACCTGCCTCTGCACCTCTGAGCTGATGCTCTCCGCGGGCGCTGGGTGGGAGTATCCAGCTGCCCAGGGGATAACCCTCTAAAACTGAAGTCCAGCCAGGGAGGATGTTTCTCTACGTAGAGAGAAGACTAGATTTCTCTAAGATCCCCTTGATCACCAGATCCAGGGCCCCAGCTGGGGTGGACGTGCTCCCCTGGGGCGCCGGCTGTGTCATCGCTGCTGCGTTGTGGTTGGTTGGGCTGAAGGAGCCTGGTCAACTGCCTGTCTGCTTCCTGGGGGCCCTGGCCCAACCCTCTGTCTTTCCTATTTAGGTGCCCATGTGGAGCACAGAGCATTTTCAAAGTCTTTGTTGGGGTTTGCTCCTAAGGAAAAGTGATTAGGAGCGGTCTCCCTAAAATCTCCATGCCTACTAGAACGAAAAAGCATAATTAGCAAGGCATTTATTTGGCCATGTCCTTCCAAAACTGTGTGAATTCCTGAGAGAGGAGAAGCTATTGGGGAACCTACACTGGAGATCAGGGTCAGGAGCCAGAGGCCCAGGAGGGGTGACTGTTTTGGGGACAAACAAGCCCTGCAGGAGGATTGATGGCCCTTGGTCCTCTGAGGACCGCGAGCCCACTGGCTTAATGACCGCTGCAGCACGCCAGGGAAATTCAGACATATTCAAGTCCGGCTTACTGAGGACCTTGGAATCCAGAAAACGAAAGGAGACTAGAAAGGAAAGATGAAGGAGACAGTGACTGCCCTCGGGTGAGATGCAGGCAGCTGGGTCACACACTCGCCAAGGTCAGAACAAGTCAGCTGTTACAGGAGGTGGAAAGCGTGCTTCCCCGCAGCTGAGGGGTGCAGGTAACCGAGGCAGCCCGGAAGGGCTGCGGATGTTACTGCAGGAACATCTGGGGTTGCCTGGGGCCCCGACACAGAGCGCTGGCAAGGGAGTTCCAGGCAAGAAGAGGAGACACACCTTGAATGTAGCCACTGTGCCTGACAGAATGCACGGAGCCGCCCCGTATGAGTTGGGAGAAAACGCTCGCATCGGGACTGGGGGGTCTAACGCTTAAGGGCACTGAGCACAGCTCCCACCTGCACTCCGGCAGCCTTGCCGCGGCCCGATGAGTCCAGTGTAGAATTTAGTAAGGAATACTGGATGGATGTCGGTTCATGAATATGCAAATGGACTATGCTCATATAGGAGGCTCACTAGGGAGAAATCAAGTGTGGGCATGGGAAAGCTTGTGCTATTGAAGTTTTCTATAAATCTAAAACCATTTTATATATAAAGTTTATTTTTTAAAGAACTCATTCAGTGGGTTTAGGAGCAAAAAGGAGATGCCAGGGAAAATTAGTGAACGCATACATAGGTCATAAAACATATTCAATTTGGATGGAGAAAAAGATAAAAGCAAACACAACAAAACACAAGGGGAGCTTCCAGGGCCACAAGGTCACACTGAAAGACCTACAATTTGTGGTATCAATCTACCAAAAAAGGAGAAGAAATGCAGAGTGCTTCAGAAATGTTTGAAAAACCAAAACTTCCCAAATTTGGTAAAAGATAAAACCCCACGGCTTTAGCAGATCCTGGATCGTAAATCTGAAGAAAGCCATGCCAAGCAGATCGCAACTGGACTGCCGGAAATGAAAGACAAGGGCAGAGTTCCAACAGGAGCCAGATCAGAACAATCCATTGCCAGGGGTGGTGTCACATGCCTGTCATCGGAGACGGGAGCGAGCAAGCATCGCAGCCGAAGTCGAGGAAGCATGTGAAGGAGACATCTCTGACACGCCAGGGGCTTTCAGCAGGTGAATATGGGCAGACTACAAACACGCTAGCGTCTGCAAAGCCTCCCTGAAACCTGCCTACCGGGGACTCCGCGTTCAGGGTGATGATTTCCTCGTCATGGTCCAGCAGTTTGCAGGCATGGGCGATGTTCACAGCTGTCTCTTGTTTGTCACCAGTGAGAACCCAGATCTGCAGGCCTGCCTGTCGCAGTTTAGAGATGGTTTCAGGGACTCCGTCCTGCAAGCGGTCTTCAATCCCAGTGGCACCTGTTCAAATGCATGTGCAACAATACGAGGGAGCCCTCTCCTCACAGGCCCCCAACCCATGAAGGGTTGCAAACACCACACCCCTCATACACCAAAGTCAGCTGCGGGTGGCACAGCCCCATTGACTGGGACCTCTGCGAGTCTTGGTCCCAGTCCCACCTGCCACTGATTGCCAGGAAGTCCCTCTGGAAGCACGCTTCGATGAGGCACCATTGAGGGACAGTGGCGAGCACTTCTGCTAGCTCTCTGGGAGTGACTCAGGCGTGTGTAGGGGGACAGGGTGAGCCACAGCACATCACTAAGTGAATTTTCAGCACACAGCCTCCATTTTTCCTAACACGAGCTTAACTTAGAACTTTACAGAGAGCTTGGAAATCACAATGGAGGTGGTCAGTATATGGCAGAGGAGAGACTTGTCCATGCTGCTCCAGGCAGGGGCACCCGCACCTACTGAAGAGGACTGAAGAGACAGATTTCCCTCTGAGAAATGAGAGGAAAGCTGCCACCTGGGGGCGAGAGCATTGGTCCAGCAGAGCCAGCAGGACCCCTCCCTCCTGACCTCAGGCCAGCACCAAAGGTGCTTGGTCTTTGGAGTCAAGGTCTTGCTACATTGCCGCAGCTGGCCAGGGATGCCTGGGCTCCAGCCACCTCCCGTCAGCCTCCCCAGTGGCTGGAACTACAGACACGTACTGTGTCTGCAGCCTGGCCGGGTGCTTACGCTGGGTGAGTGCAGAGCTGGGCCAGGAAGTCACATCCCAGTCCCTTAAAATGGACACAGCCGCTTTAGGGGGACATCATTTACTCCACACCCAGGGGTGCTGCTTCTTAAGCTGCTAGGCCTCTGCATCCCAGGCCTCTCATCAGAAGCAGCGGCTGAGGCGAAATGTGACAGGAAGTGTTCATCACACCTGGTGCACATCGCACTATTAAGCATTAGTTACCATTAACCATAAAGGATGCTAGATACACAGATACAGGTACGTAGATGTCCCTGCTCCTCCGCCCAGGGAATGAGGCCCAGTGAATACAGTCCCTCGGCTAAATGAAGAAAGACAAAATTTGTGACACTTCAAGCAGGGCCAGCGGGATCTGACCCACAACTTCCAGGGAGACAAGCAGGTGCACAGCAACATCACGCCAGCTACTTGTGAGGACAGAGCCCAACAGTCCACACATACAAAGACTCAGCTAAGTCACTCACCACTTCAATACATTAACAAATTAAATGCTTTGAACATTCAAGTAAGTGTAAACCTAGCAGGGCATGGTGGTACATGCCTGCCATCCCAGCACTCTGGGAAGCTGAGGCAGGAGGACTGCAAGCTCAACTGGAGGCTGAACAACTTAGTGAGACCTGGTCTCAAAATGAAACATAAGAAAAGGTTTTGGGGTGTAGCTCAGTTAGAAGACTCTAGGTTCAATGCCCTGTATGTTGGGAAGAATAAGTATAACAACCTTCACTGATGACTAAAATTAATTAGTATCCATTAAATGTAAATAGGGCAGAGTAGGAGACAGGAACACATTTTAGCAAAAATGAGACGTTTTCCACTGGTTTTTGTTTTTGTTGTTGTTTTGGGGGTGTGCCGGAAATCGAACTCAGGACCTTGGGCTTGCCAGGCAGGAGCTGTGCCTCGGAGCTCTATCCCCGGCCCGAGCCCATTTTCCTTCATCCCAACTGAAGCTGTGATGTATTCACCAGCTGCACAGTGCAGCAGCTTCTGGAGCACAGCCGGTTCTCCTGGGCTGCCGGGTGGGGAGGGGACCTGGGTGCCCCGTCTATGCCTGGTGGAAGCTTCCAGGGAGGCAGCTGCCACCACCCTTTGGTCTGGCGCACAAGCTCACATGGACACGGCTTCAAAGGAGGTTCCCCTGAGGACCTCCCAGCCTGGGGGACATGGAGCTTCAGGCCGGGCTGCTCCTGAACTGCACCCAGCCAAGACCCTGGGATCCCCCAGCGAGGGATGGGGGTGCGCAGCCACACCGCACCCTGCTCCCAAGCGCGCTCTGCACACCGGCCACGGCTCCGCGCGAGGGGAGCTCGCCAGGAGGTTACCCAGCAAGTGCAGGTTGGTCTCCAGGCGCAGGGCGGACTGGAAGAGGAGCTCCTCGCGGTTGTCCAGGGACGACTCTGCTTCCAAGTGGCCTTGCAGCCAGCAGGCGTATTCCTCTTTGCTCAGGACCTGTGTGGGGCACGCCGGTGAGGCCAAGCACGGAGCAGCGGCCCCCGCAGCCCGCGCGGCCCCCACTCACCCGCTTGGCAATGCACAGCGTGCGCAGGCCCTCCATGGCGTACAGGTTGAGGAAGCTCTGCGTCTTGCTGCGGATCTTCTTCTGGTGCCGCCCTCTGGCCTCCTCTGGGGTGGAGGAGAAGCGGAGGGCAGGACGGCTGAGCACAGGGCCAGCGACCCGCCTCGCGCCTGCTTACCGCATCTAAGCCCGGCGCGCAGCTCCGCACCATGCGCAGAGTAAACATCAGCTTTTTTTTTAAAAAAGAACTCATCCAAACACACATTTTTGGCTGTTTCTAAGATCTTCAGCTGAAACAAGAAGCTCCAAAGAGGAAAAGCTCATCACAAATGGCACGGCTGTCTTGGGTGTAGCCTCTTAAATACAGGCGCACACTCCTCCTCTGCTTATGAAAAGTCCTGCTTAACAGAAAGTGCAGTTTCTCTCCCGCGCACACACTTGTTGGTAGTGCTGACAGACTATCCAAACACTGTACCGATACAGTAACTTACATTGTGAAAACACTGTAAAAAATGTAAGCAACTTACGTTGTAAAAACAGTTTATTTGAATTTCAAGCTTCACTTGTATTTTACTTTGTTTTGCTAAGTCTGGCGACCGAGTTCCGAGCCCCTGGCTTCAGCTGGCTCCTGCCCCAAGTGCACCCTGATGAGCAGAGGTGGAAAAGCTCCCCTCCCCGACACTCTGCAGCCCCAGGCACCCGCTCTTTCTACCTTTGTGTATTAGGGTAAAAGCCGGGCTGGGCACCGGCATGCGTGAGGCTGAGTTTACTCAAGGGAAAGCCGCGGGTTTCTGGGCTGCCTCGCGGGTCCTGGGAGGGGGTAGTGCTGCCACACCCCTTCGGGGAGCCACGGTGCTGTCTGCCCTCAAGTGCTGCCCAGAAACCCTGCATAAAAGGCTCAGCTCCTCGCCTGCAGGGCGAGAAGTGCAGCCTCTCGGGGACAGGCCTGGCGGGAGTCACTGAGGACGAGCGTGCCCCGCAAGGGGACGGAGGGGCCCCGGCCCTCCTCTTTTCCTTTTTTGCTCCTGGCCGCGAGGAGAGCAGTTTGTTTTACTGTGCTGTCCCGCCTGACAGGCATCCTTGTTTCCAACCCAAAACAACAGGGCCAGCAGAAGCCTCCAAACCACAGCATCAGGTTACTATACTATGGAGGTACAGTCTCCAGAGTTACTGCTAAGAGTCTGTGTGTTTTATATTTGAGGTTTTCTACTCATTTAAAAAATGCACTGGCAAAGCTGGCGTGTCATGCCTGTAATCCCAGCACTGGGGAGGCTGAGGCAGGAGGATTGCTGCGAGTTTGAGCCCAGCCTGGGCTACGAAGTGAGTTCAAGGCCAGGCTGATCTGCATAGTGAGATCCTGTCTCAAAAAGACAAAAAACAGAAGCACTAGCAGAGCGTATGGGTGCAACACCTGCCGTGGCCCCCTGGGGGGAATGGTGCTAGGCTCTGGACCGAAGGTCCCGTCTGTGGCACTGGGATTACAGAGAGAAGGACGGGTGGGCGATAAAGTGTTCCCTGGAGCCGTCACAGAGGTCGCAAGGGCCTGTCCAGTGCAGGGTTTGCAGCAGGTGACACCCAGGGCTGCTTCCTTCCAGGAGATCGCAAGCAGCAAAGCTGCAGGGGTCGGCAGCACAGCCCCGAGGGCCTCTCCCACTGCCAGCTGCACCCTCGCCTGCACCCTGACCCTGACCCCAGAGGTGAGACTCACCCCTCGGCCCCCTGAGCACCGAAGACAGGGTAACCAGGCTTCTGTCATGAGTGTGACTACTCTTCCTCCCGTTCAGGAGCATCTCCAGCTCCTTTGCTGCCTGAAGTTCCTCAACCTCATTGTAATTCAAAAGTAATCAACAGCCCAGCATGGAGCTGCCCAGCACGGCGTCAGGACCCGAGGCCACCAGCCCCCCTCTTCCCAGTCCCCGGCAATAGCTGAGAACCACAGCCTGGACCTCAAAGCTGCCCCAAGGCCAGAAGGCAGGAAGGAGCCTTCCAGAACTTCTGACCTGAGGTTCTCAGCCTCCACCCTTGGATGGAAAACCCCATGTTCCCCAGGTAATTTCCCCCCAGTGTTGGGGAGAAGGTGGGGTGCGAGGTCCAGGCCAAGGGCACTGGAGCGCAAACGCTTTCCACTGTGATGCAGACCCGGTGACGATCTGACGTGCAACACGAAGAAAAAGGACAGACGGCCCTCACTGCGCCCAAAGGTCTGGGTGGGAGATTTCTGGGGTGCAGACGGGCGGGGGGGAGAGGCACCTGAGGAACAGGGCAGCAGCAGGTCCATGACCACCGAGTCAGCACCCTTGGTGTAGACGTTGATCTCATCGGTGAGTGGGTGTCGGATCACCACGGACATCCTCTTGCGGATGGAGTCGAAGCCCAGCGTGTGCAGCAGCTCAAAGGTGAGCCTGCCCAGGTGGGGCAGCTCCACGGACACCTGGTCAGGGAGCCGGTCCACCAGCGCACAGCTGTAGGCCCTGGCGGCGTAGACCAGCGCCGCCTCATCGGGGCTCTCGGCCTCGTACCGCAGCTCCCGCTCCTGGCCTGGCTCCGGCTTCTGCTCCGGGGCCCAGCTCTCAGCCTGGCTGCTGTAGCCGTTGCTGGCGATGGACGGAGTGGGCTGGCTGAGCCTCTCCTCCAGCTTGAGAAACACGCTGTCGCTGGAGAGGCTGGACAGGAAGCTGGGCCCCGACTTGTGGCTGGGCTTGCTGGCGGCCAGGCCGCCGGTGCTGCTGCACACGGAGGTCAGGCGGCTGGGCGTGAACCTCCGAAGGAAGTCTTCTATGGTCTTCACCGGGGACTTGAGCTCGAACCTCACCCTCACCTGCTGGAAGAGCAGTCAGACGAAAGGGAGGCAATCACAGCTGCTCGTTTGGCCTAAAAGGCTCAGAGAAGTGGACCCCATGGCCTGGCCTAAAAGTGGGTGCCTTTTTACCCCTCTTAAAATGCCACTCGAAAGACTGGCTTCACATTCTCTTGGAGCAGACTGGTGGAGACCCTGCCAGCCAGATGCGGGACATTAAGGCAGCCCAAGCGCACGGCTGCGCGGGGCCGGCTGTACAAGCCTGTGGCCTGGGGACCCGTCTCCTGGGGCCCACCAGGGCCCTGGGGCCGCAGCAGGCAGGGGCGGCAGCTGCTGTCAGAGAGACCGCAGGGACCGCCTTGTTCACCCCAATCGTCCGCCGATGGCTCCTCAGTGCGCACAGGGCGAGGCTGACGGGAGGCTGGGAAGGCGGGCGGGGCTGGGGCACACGTCCACCTTGCCGCACCCACGTGCCAGCACCCTGTCCCGCCGTCTGCACCCCAGCCCCTCTCGCCCTCTCCCCTGTGTGTCTCTGGGACCTTGGGGCTTGGGGATGCCACCCCCAGGGGTGCCTCTTCTGCCCTGCCAGGCGGGGAGGAGCTCTAAAGGCAGGCGGGCCCTCCTGAATTCGCCGCCCACCCAGACCAGGCCCTGGCTGGCCACTCTCTGGCCCTCCCGTCCCAGTTCAGGTGTCACAGGCAGTCCGTCCTCTCCCCCTTGGGCTCCTCCAGGCGAGCACCCACTCCAGCCTGGGGACTGTCACTGCACAACCCCCACACCCTGCTGCAGCCCCGACACCCGAGAGGCCTGCCGGGCGGCTCCCCGCAGGAAGCGGAGCCCGCACTCTTGGAGGGCGCCAGCGGTCCCGGGCGTTACGGCTCGGGGCCTTCGCAACTTGCCTTTTGTCGCGGCTGGTCAGGGGACGTGACCACCACTGCGTTGCAGACAGTGAGTGCGATGAAGAAATCGAAGACGTCTGACAGCTCAGGCGAGAGGTGGGCCAGGGGCTGCTCCTGATGCCTCGAGAGTGCCAGGCACCTGTCACACTCGCTGACCTTTTCCAGCAGTTTCGGGTCGGGCGTGATGTCTTTCTCCTGGGAGGGAAAACGCGCACTTGCTGGTGAGGCTGCCCCAGCACCTGCCGAGCGCCCAGGGGCTGAACTGCGTAGGGAGCCTTGATTTTATTCCATGGCATAAACAGAACCTCACCTCACACATGCACATATCACTTCACAACTGTACACTGTCTGCAATTTTAACGGCAGAAAATATTATCATACGTGGAAAAAATGCATATATGCTGACATATAATATATACACATTTCTTATAAAATGTCTAAGACACACTATTATAAAATAATATGGATCAATCTCAAAAAATTCAACAAATCCGTATCACACCATTCCACAAAACATCTACTTTGTTGTTGTTGTTTTTTGTTTGATTTTTTGAGACAGGGTTTTGCTATGCAGTTCAGGCTGGCCTTGAACTCAGTATGTAGCCCAAGCTGATCTCGAACTCGTGGTGATCCTCCTGCCTCTGCCTCCCGAGTGCTGGGATTACAGGCGTGCGCCACCACGTCCCGCTGAACACCTCCTTTTGAGAATCACAGCTCTGCATTTCCTTGCAGCTTCTTTTGGTTTATATTTAAATTTTACAGAATCAAAATATTTTATATGCCCATTGGCAGTTTCCATTTCCCCAAAACGCATTATATTTCTGAACTTTTCTGTGGATTTAAGAATTCAGATGGACATATTGTAATTTTTCTGATCATCTATTACTGGATCCCAAACTGCTTTACCATTCTGCTGATACATGGGTAAGCTTCTCTGTAGAGCAATCGCTGACTGAATCACTAAAGCAGCAGGTCGGAAAGCAGGACTCCTTAGACCCTACTGCGGAAGGCTGTGAGGAAGCCTTCTCCCAGCGCGGCTCCCGCCTGCCCCCGGCCTCCTTCCCCTGCCCTGTGGAACCCACTGGTGGTGTCCGGAACTCCTCGTCACCTCTGCTGAAACAGCAGCTCCCGTAGGGTCCAGAAGGACCTGAGTGAATGAGGAGGCCGCCCAGGGAGGGCTTTGTCCTGCAGAGATTTCAGAAATGGAAGCATCTTTCAGTTTGCCTCTAACAGCTGGACCTTTCTTGTCTGAAGATAGTGGCCTGTCCACACAGGCAGAGCAAGGAAGAATAGTTTCACGGGATTTGGGCCCATCTAACTAAAACCTTTGCACAGGACCCAGAGCACCAAGGGGGTTTGGCTTTGCATTTTCACAGCCGTCACCTTGTCCTCATGTTTTACTTGTGTCACTTGGCAGGACATGCGTCCTCTCCGTCACCCTTTCCGGGCGGCTTACCTGGCACCCGCCCAGCCAGACGCTGTGGCAAAGAGTCCTGCGTACTGGGTTGCAAAGGACATGACCGTGGCGGGACGCTGTTGGCCAAGACGCTTCTGCCAGCACAGCAAGTGCAGCTCTCCAGCAGGAGCTTACTGCAGCTGCTGAGTGCAGACACTGCCGAGGAAGGACACAGCCGCGGGAGGGCGGCGCGAGGCGGCGTGCCCTGCGCACACTCACCATGGGGCTGCTGAAGGCCGTGTGCCTGGACAGCATGCTGGCCCTCTTGGCCTCGGCCCGGCTGCCCGAACGCCGCTGGGACTTGGTGCTCTGGGTCCGGTGCACGATCCGAACGCTCTGGTGGCTTCCGATGCTGCCGCGCTGAGACCACGATCCCCCCTTGGGCACCACCTCCTCCTCCTCCGAGTCCGCTTCCTGGTACCTGGCCAGACGCTGGGCTGTGGGGACGGAGGCAGAGTCAGATGTCATGGGCACAGGCTGGGCCCGTGGCAGATACAGGGCACTTTCCGTTTTGTGGACTAGGATTAAGCCAGAGCCTTTGCACTGAGCTACATCCCCACCTCCTTTTAAAATTGTTTACGTCGAGACAGGGTCTTGCTAAGTTGCTAAGGCTGAGCTCTCCTGTGTCCTTCCTGTCCCAGCCTCTCAGCGTGCTGAGGTTACGGGCATGTACCACCACACCCAGCTTGCAGGGCATTTTGCATCCCACCAGGTTTCTGGGGTGGGGGTCCCTCGGAGCACTCTAACGGCAAGGACACAATTAACGGGAATGTCCGCCGGCAGAGGGCTAAAAGGCACTTTTGTTGATCCACGTCCTTGGTCAACCTGAGGATGTGCTCAACTCCATTTCACAGATGAGAAGACTGAGTCTCTTCTCAGCACTCCAGGGTCTGGGGAGGTCACAGATGCAGGGACACAGAATGAAGGAGGGACCAAGGGGTGCAAGAGCTGGGTGCACACAGTGGGACTCAGGGATCTGTCCATCACAGCAGTGTGTGTGTGGGGGTGCTTGTTCGCCTGGGCCCTTGAGGCAGATGAGGAGGTATCACATGTCTGCGTTTCTAAGGGCGACGCGCAGGACCTCAGACTCGGGGGAGGGTGCTGGAGGGCAAGGCCAGCGCCAGCACCGTTTCCTGCACCTGGTGTGGACCCAGCCCGCGAAATTTGAGAGGATCCCGATGCGATCCTGCAGTTGGACCCTAGGGGGCGCTGCCCATCCCGGTTCCCACAGCCCGGCGCTGAGCGCTGGAGAAGGGGTTTAAGCTGAGCCTGTGCTGCTGTCCCCGGCTCACTGAAGGCTCTTCGCACATGCTCCCGGCTTCCTTCAGGACTACGGTGAGGACGACTCACTCGCAGCAAGCATTCAACCAGAATTTCAAGTACAGCCGCAGCCCCAGGTGGGGGCACACGTGTCCCAGCGTCTTAGCAGACCTTCCTTCGTGCTGAGAAAATCAGGAACGAGGAGTGGACGCCGCCTGCCCACTGCCATGGGCGGAGCACTGCTCAGCACCACGATTCCAGGAGCGACCCCTCTCCCGGACGTCGGGCGACAGAGGCCTCAGGAGGAAGCAACTGGCTGGCGGCGAGAATGAAGCCCGGATGCGGGACCCAGTCCAGGTCCTCGCCTGCGAGTTAGGAGCCCGAGCACCTCCCCGGCCCGTGGCCTCTGGATGTCAGAGCTCAGGGTAGCCGCCCCTCGGGGCCGAGCCGAGGCTGTGGGGCCAGGCCCACGGCCGCTGCTGGTGTTTGGCGGTGGCTGGTAGTGTCTGAGCCAGGTGGACGCAGGGTTGCCTTCTAGGTCCTCGGGGAGGATGAGGCGGAGGGGACACCCAGCCCTGGACGCATATAGTCAGCTGCACGGGCTGTCAGGTCACAAGGTCAGAGAAAGGGACCCGGCGGTGTCTGTGGCCGGTCCTGCTATGTGAACAGCGGCAAACCTATCTGAGCTCACTCACCAGCGAGCAGACAGGGCATAGGTCGCAGGGTTGGCTGGCAGGGAGCCGCTCTGCCCAGCGCCTGTTGCCTGCTGCCCTGGGCACTTGGGTACATCCTGCTGCTGAGATGCAGGTTGCTCCCAACTCACCAAAAACCCTCTCCTGCGTCTTCTGCAGGCGACAGAACCCTCCGGTTCTACGACGGGCATTTCAGCCAGGTGTGACTCTTCCCCATGGAGCCTCAGGTCCCAACTTTGTTACCATGTGGAAACAGTACTGCTAATATTATTTTTGACTGACAAAACTGGCGCTATACATTTTCGGCTAGGATGCGATGTTTTGACACATGTTCGTAATGTGGCATGATTAAATCAAAGCAACGCACACATCCGCCGCCTGGCCTATCCATCATTTTTCATGATGAGACACCTGAAGTTCTCTTAGTTATTCTGAAATACTGATACATCATCACTGAACATGTACACTCACTGTACTGCGCAAAAGATTGCAAAACTACTCTTGCCCACTGGAAATTGGGTGGAAGGAGGCAGGGTGGGCGGCAGGGAGAGGGCAGGGCGGTCAGATGATCTTTGCTGCTCTTAAAGGAGGAAGAGTCCTGGCAGCCTCATCTGGAGGTGAAGGGACCCCAAAACAACAGTGCTGTGCAGAGTCCCTTTCCACGGTGTCCTCTCATGGCTGAGGTAGGGGCAGCTGCCTCTACTCACACCCTGGCCTGCTAAGCTGCAGCTGCCCCGAGCCTGCCTTCAGAGGAGGGAGGCAGCAGAGCATAAGGAACGGGGAGCAGGGCAGAGGGGCCGCCCCAACAACCAGAAGTTGGGCCATTCATTTCGCGGCTGCAGACGCTGCTCCCAGGGAAAGACCGCAGCGTGGAGCTAGGACGCCCTTCTGAGAGCTGTCAGCTGATGACAGAAAGACCGACGGGTGACAACGGAACCTTCTCTGCCCTTCGGTGTGGCAGGAGGAAGCGACTGTGCCTGGGCAGTGAGGTCCCCCGGGCGGCCGTGCCTGCTGCTGCACGTGGCTGGCGGAACGCGAGCGCGGAAGCAGACGCCCACCACGCCAGGCCCTGCGGTGAGCCCGGCGACGTCAGCCTGGCCTATAAATAGCGGCAGGCTTTCGGTTCCTGAGGTGCTGTGACAGTCACGCCACACCTTTATGCTCCCCTGAAAGGCAGCCATCCTGGCAGCGTGTGCGGTGTGTGTGTGTGTGTGTGCGCGTGTGTGTGTGCACGCACGCACCTCTATGTGCGGCTTTGGACACAGCGACCACTCTCCAGTCCAGCCAGCCCGGAAGCCCCATCCCCAGACTCACCATTGGCATCGTGAGAATATTCCACCCCGGACACAGTGCACCTTCGGAAAACCATCTTGTTCTCGGTTAAAGTGCCGGTTTTATCCGAGAAGATGTACTGAATCTGCCCGAGGTCCTCCGTGATGTTCAGAGCTCGGCACTGCAGCTGGGAGTCTGTCTCCTCATCGTACAAGTCTATGTCCTGGTTAATGAAGTACACTTGGCACACTTTGACGATCTCAATGGAGACGTACAAGGAAATTGGGATCAAAACCTAGGAGACATAAAGCACAGCGCGTGAGCGGCTGTGCCGCCCGGGAGCCGCACAATCAGTCCATCCACTGAGATGACAAATGACCACAGGCACAAGGAGGCAGGGCTGTACCGTACCTTTAAGAGGTTAAAGAGGGTGGTTTAGAGTCACTACCGGAAAAGGACAAGAATACTGGCAGAGAGTTTAAACTAGGAGAGCACAGGGTGCAACTGCGGAGCGGGTGTCCACTCTCGTGTCTGGAAGTGTGACCAAGGCTTGGATAGAAGCAAGTGCTTTCATGTGACCAAGCTGTGCAGGAGAAAGGCTAGGAAAGGGAGACAGAAGAGAAAAAACAGGGCAAGTCAGAGTCCTTGTAAGCAAAGCCACCTCAAACCACAGCAGCGCTTGACCCCCCAGGCCCCCCAGGCTCCCCAGGCCCCAGGGACGCGGTGGCCCTTCTCCTGAGGACACACCCTCACGGCTCAGGGACAGCTGCGAGGGAAAGAGCCAGTCTGGCGTTGAAGGACCGCTTCCACGATTTTGTACGTTATAAAGCAAAGGGAAGAAAGCTTTGAGAAAGATATTCACTATGATGTCTTGAGAACTGAAGACCAGCTTCCTTAAAATCGATGTTTGTTTATTTTGTAGTCGCAGTACTGAATTAACGTTTCCGAGCCTAGAATATCATATGCAGGCAAACTGGGTTCTCCTGGTATCTTGATTATGTTAATGAACACCAAGTATTACCCTCACTCAAGGCTAGAACAAAATTTGCATTTATAAAAAAGACTAATTTGGAAAGCTAAGTAAGGCTGTTTCCTGCTGAAGCACAGATGTCAAGAGCCTGCGTAACTTCTCTCGCAGGCAAAGCCACGCGCGCGTGTGCTCTGGACATTCCCTGTGTTCTCAGAAAGGCTGGTGGTGATGCTCCCAGCCCCTCCCAGCTCCCTGGAGCTCTGGGACCACCCGACTCTTTCACAGACCTTTGTGGGCATCAGCTGGTGACTGGGGGTTACATAACAGTAAGAGCCACTACTGACAGCTACCGTGTGATGCCTGATATTGAACCCCAGAGCGGAGAAAGCACATTAGCGGGAAGACGGCTGGCTCGGAAGGCAGCCGTTTGGAGGTAAGCTGACGGCCCGCTCCCAACTTGGATTTTTAGTTCTTACAATAGACCACAGCTACGTAACGCGCTCACAGTAGGGAAAGCTAGGGGAGGGAGGTATGTGAACTCTTTGTAGTAGTCTCCAAAACTTTTCTGCAAGTCATAAAATTATTTTGAAACAACGGTTCCTTAAGTAACCGAGGCTAGGAATACAGCTTTGTGCGGGGACACTTGCTTACCATGTGTGTGAGGCCCCGGGATTGATCCCCAGCACCACACACACAACGATATGTGAAGGGAAAAACGGCTAATGGAATGATAACCAAAACTAAACCTAAAACCATCAAGAACCTTAAGGAAAGCAAAGGAGAATTTTAACTTGAAAATCACCCAAGGAAAAACCCTATAGATAGTGAAGGAAGGGGAGTAAAAAGCCAACACATCCGGCAGATATATTTGTGGTCCTCCCCGATGCGAAGTTCTTAGCAGAGTGCGATGCGTTTCAAGTTCTCCTGAGGAAAGTCCAGCACTTAGCCCAGGGCAGTGAGTGCTGTTACCTGCAGGACTATTATCATTGTCAGGAATGAGTACACTGCAGCTGTGACCGGTGACAAGGAGCTGCCGTCAGACTCGGGGACGTCGAACAGTGCTTTCTTTTCTTGGTAGCGCCGCACCCACAGTCCGTGTCCTGCAGGAGCATCGAGGGACAAACATCATTCGTTGGCTAGGAAAATAAGAACGCTGCTAGCGTAAACTAAGACAGTCATCAGGGTTATCACTGGCCACAGAAGGCTTGGTTTATGAGCCTACCTTGCCACACAGGAAACTGACAGCGCACGGGACTCTTGGGACCCATGACCAGGCTCCTGGAAGAGGCTGAACTTGGGCTTCTCTGCACACCGAGAGTTCCCCAGTGTTGGTGCAAAGTGGCATGCTGGTCACAAAGCAGGACCGGGCATGGCAGAGGGTGAGGCCCCAGAGAGAATTCCTAACTTGTGTCTCCCAAGTGCCCAGTCTTATGCTGCTTCGTGCAGGCACGCTGAGTTCTGGGTATAGCCCACAAACGTCCCTTCTCAGAGATCCATACTCATGCATGAGAGACCTGAGTTCTACGCACAGATTCTATGCACGTTACTGAATGATAACAGAAGCCTTTGCATAGTACGTTTTTTATCCCTGAGCTCTGAGATCGTGTCACACTGCCCAGTGCTGGATGACAAGCTGAGCTGGGACAAAGTGAAGGTCATTACTCAGGCCTGGCCGTACCTCCCCGCAAGCCCCACGGAGCCTTCCAGCTCCTTCTTAGGGCCCAAAGAATTCTCTATTTGCGTGAAGTTTCCTTTGGTAACCTTTGTGCCTCTCCTGCTGTTAAGCCTTGGTTCATCTGGTACTTCTTCCACTGGACCCGTGCCTACTGCTGTGACCAGTCCAGCCTCCACCCATGCACTTGTCAGTGTGGGAAACAGCGTTACCCTGCTGAGCCTGCTCATCAAGGCACGCAGCGCGGCCTGTGCTGGTGCCAGCGGCCCTCAAGTCCGAGTGAGTGAAAAATGCGAGTTTTGACTTAAGGGTATTGGGTGGGTCCCAACGAGCTGGGGCAGCCCACCAGGCTTCCCTGGAGGCTGTTCAGCAGTGTCCACTCACTGGTGATCCTCCCGGGAGACTTACCGACCGCTGAAAACAGAGACATACAAATGAGGAGAAGGACACACCAGAGCACGTCGCAGTTCATCTGCCTCTCAAGCTGGCTGCGCTTGTAGCGGGGCCCGCTGTTGTTCAGCAGAGCCTTGGTTTCATGTCCTGCAGGGGCGAGTCAATGCCCGGCAGTTAAGGAACTAGTCATGTGGGTCCACAAGGTGAACTACTGTGCTGCCGTCATTCACAGGTAGGTGATACATTCATTCAGAAGAGCAGGGTATAAAATTAATCCTGCACATGACAATAGCCAGGGAGAAATGAATGGCTATGCTAAATATGCTGAAACGACAGGAGGGAAACTTTTGGTTTAGGTGTTGTTAGAATTCTTGGTTTTGTTCTTTTTTCCTATTTTGTTTTGGACTGAGAATCAAACTTAGGAGCTTGCACTTGCCAGGCAGGCACTGTGCCTGCTGAGCTGTATCTTTGGCCCCCTAATTTTCTTAACAGTGGGTATAAACTAATCTTACATCAGATACACATCGGGAAGAAGAGCTAATGCGCAGGGCACCGTGAGGTAGCGCACGGGCGAAGGGGCCGTGCCTACCTGCATAGATGACGATGCCAACCACAGCCTCTGTGTTCCTGATGGTGCAGCCGCGCAGCAGCAGGTTCTCCTTGTGCAGCCCGGCCCTCTGTCCGCTGCTGTGGATGCTATAGGGAAGGGGCGGACACAGCACGTGACTGCGTGCAGGCGCCCTGTCTCATCCACCCTGCCCTGGGAAGGAGCTGCCACAGCGGAAGCTTGGGAAGCCGGGAGGCTACAGGGAAGGGACTCAGGAGCCCCAAGCGCATGGGTCTCCACCAGAGATGGGAGGACGCAGCCGCTCAGTGGCAGTGGGCCCTCCGGAAACAGCTCTAGAGCAGATGTTTATTTACTTCACACACAGACTTGTTTTTACTCCAGAAACTGACCACAGCTTGTGAAGGAACTGCAGAACTGCAAGGCAGAGCTCAAAAGCCCTGCTGGGTGGCCTGTGGTGTATCTGATGTTCTGCATATGTAACAGACTCCTAACTGGTTTCTCGTATGTCACAAAGCTCCAAATACGCCTTCAGATAAAGGAAGGGTACTAGTTTTGACTACCTTTCTTTATATCTTTTTTCTTACTAAAGGTCATAAAGTTACCCAGGCATGATTACATGTACACCTGTAATCCCAATGTTCTGGGAGGCTAAGGCAGGAGAATCATAGGTCTCGGCATCTTAGCAATTAGTGAGACACTATCTCAAAAATAAAACTAAAACCAGGGATAGGGATGTAGTCCAACGCAAAGGCCTTGTGTTTAATCCCCAGTATGATAAAAACCAAAACAAAACAAAACATGAAAGAGGTCATAAAGTTACTGAAAACGTTAACATATTTCAATTGAAATGTGGTAAATCTGTGAGAGGAGGTTTTAGATTCTGTTTGACGGCTCTGCGGATTCAGAAAGACAGTCCAAGTTTAAGGCACTGGTTCTCCAGCTTGTCCTCTTGGCCCACCAGTGGTCCATGCTGCTGGGACAGCCCTGTGCAGGGACAATGCCGAAATAGACACGGTCCTGGGGGTCTGCCGCAGGTCACAAGAAGAGAACTTGCAGGCTTCCCGAGCAGAGCAGGGGCTGAGGCTGACCTCTGCCACAGTGCCACCAAGAGGGGGGCCTTCTCTAAAGCTGCCTTCCCAGCCCCTTGGTGGACAGTGCTCTCTTCACGCCCTCCCACGCCCACTGCCCAAGGCCTCCCCTGTGGTTCTTGGCAACTGCCAGAGGCGCTGGGAGCCCCTTCTCTCCCACTACCCTCTAGCGTGATGCCCACTGACCAGGGGGCTGCATTTATTTTCCATCGAAGAGGAAAGGCTACACAATGAAGTCAAGGCTGCGATGCATGCCAGGATGCAGCGTTTCCTGCAAGTCTGCCGGGCCCTCACAGCAGCAGTTCCCCTGCAGAGCCTGTGAAGCGGCACGTGTAGTGTGTTCCATCCACATGGCAGCCCCTTTGGCAACTCCCAGCAGAGGCAGGCTTTACTTCGAAGAGTGATCTGAGACCAAAAACCCCCCTGTGAGCTGTGCCATCAAGAGCCCGGCGTGCAGAAGCTGCCACAGCACACAAAACTCTGCTCCACACTTCCCAAGCCCTGAGGGCAGTGCTTCCAGCCTGATGTCTCTCTCGGAACAGCTGGGCGCCTGAACCATTTCTCTGGAACAGCAACAATGACTAAGTCGTCCATGATCCAGTCATGCTTACAAGAAAGAAGAGATGGCTCCGGTGGAAACAAGAAAAATGTCTTAGAGTAAGCTTTCTTGGGCATGACGTGCACTTTTTTTTTTTAAAGCAATACAGTCAGCCCTCTGTATTCACAGGCTCTGCATCCACACGTCCAACCAACCACAGATAGAAGAATCTGGAAAAAACATTCATCTGTACTGGACATGTACACATCTTCCTGTCAGGATTCCCTAGGCTAAACAGTGCAGAGTCACAGCTATTTACACTGTGCTGGGAGCTCCACGTCACCCAGAGAGGGCGGAAGTGTGCAGTGGGGAGAGCACAGGCTGCACGCAATTCCATGCCGTGTTACTCTGGTATTGCGGGGAGGCGGTGCTGGAAGTACGCCCCCTGGATACCAAAGGACAACAGTGCTGTGCTTTCTAATCAAACCAGGCCAGATGGGAGCTCACCACAACAGGTGCCCAGCCTCAGCAGGGCACAGGCCCAGAGGCAGGCTGTGGGTCAGGGGAGAGGGATGCCGCCCCTATGCTCTCGGCCTCCCCCAGGCCAGCAGTGGGACAGCAGAGAACAGACAGTCCCTGGGGCCCGCACTCAGCAGCTGCAGAGCTGCCGAGATTTCGGAGAGGGAGGGTCTCAGCCAGTGGAGGAACGGCCCAGGCCACACAGGCGTGAGTCTCCCTCCAGGAAGATCCCCTCGAGGAAGTGGGCGCGTGAAGCTGCTCCAGACATGGCCGCCTCTGCCGCAGGCTGGACTGTGACCACCACAGGACTCAGTGCTGCAGTCCCGGGCCCCAGGACCCCAGGCTACAACTGCATTTAGAATCAGCATCTTCAGCAAAGAAATGGAGTCCAAATGAGGTCATTAGGGTGGACGTTACGCCAGCCTGGTGCCTTAGAAGCGGAGATTAGGACATAAACGTACAGAGGCCCACGAAAGACATAAGGAGACCACATCCCCACGCCAAGCAGAGATTCCTCAGGAGAAACCAACCTTGCCAACAGCCTGACCTCAGACTTCCAGGCTCCAGACGACAGGAAGATAAACCTGTCAAAGCTGCCAGGTCTGTGGGGCTTTGTTATGGCAGCCTTGGCAACCGAGCATATCCTTCAACATTTAATGTACGCTGCTCGGAAGAACTCATCCAGCTCAAGGCCTCATGCCTCTTGCCTCATCAGCCAATCTCTTCTAAATGAAAACTGCTCAGAAGGAGAACTTTAGGAGAGAGCTGCCTGGTGATAACGTCGAGTTTCCACCAACAAGGGCCGCACACAGCACCCTCGGGACGTGGCAAGGTTTAATGAATAAACACCCTGCCCAGCCCTTCTCTCCGGAAAGATGTTACATCTCCGGGACGGAACTGCGTCCCAGCACGTGGAGAAAGACAGCAGTGGAGACATCAGGGTGCTGACGAGCGCCCCCGTGGGGTAGAACATGACTGTGCAAGCACAGGATGAGAGACTACAGCACTCCCATCTCCTGCCCCCGCAGGGCCCACACCTGCCACACCCAGAGACTCGTCTCCTTTCCACTTTCCTGGGCAGCGGCTCCTCGTCAGCCTGGTCGGCAACCTCAGGGTTCTCGACCCCTCTTCCCTCCTGATTTTTGCATCTACCCAACCAAGCCTCCTTCTCAGTCTCCCTGCAGCGCTGCCCTAATTCAGGATGTGCTGGAGCCCATCGCACACTCTTGGTGTCTTTCGCACCAGCAGTCTGGGCTCTCAGTCACCAGAGGAATCCTCCACGGTGTGTGTGTGTGAACCTTCCACTCTCCCAGAGCATCCTCTGCAGCTGCTGACTTCCTCCAGCTTGGCAATGCAGCTCCTTCTCAGCCCTTTCCATGCCTGCTTTCTGCCCAGCCATGCCAGCAGGCCATGTCCTGTTTACCTCACGCAGGCCTCTGCCCGGGGGAGCTGGGCCCTCCGCCCTGCACTCAGGCTGCACAGCCTGCATGAACATTTCTTGTGCTAAGTCCCCAGGTCCTCCAGTCCCCAGGGATCCTCATGTTATTCCGTTTTTGACTCCAACATCTCCCTCTCTGCCGAGCAAATACTGAGGGCTGCCTTGATGATGGCATTGGGTCGGGTCTATCCAATACGGATCAAGAGAACACAAGGATTTAACTCCCTCCCCTCCTGAGAGTGAACACTGGCTGGCTGCGTCCTTTCACCAGGGCGTTGGGTCTCTGCAGATCACCCTGACGTGAGTCTCTACTGGCCACTCCTCCCGTCGAACTGTTGGGCCTCACAACGGTGAAAGCTATGGGGCTACTCACCCTGTATCATCACATCCCTGTGGGTCCCCTAATGGAGCCTCAGTGAATCACTCACATGGACTTGACGCTCCCAAAGGTCCCCTGGCTGACAGAGGAAGGAGGACAGAGTGATGGATAATAGATCACTGCCGGCACTGCCGAATCCTGGCCACATTTTTCTTTGAAATAATGAGTTGCTCCAGTTTTTGTTCATTTACATATGGAAATTACCAAACTGTGTCTTGTATTGATGTTCAGTTTTCTCTAGGTGCAATTGTGTCAGTGCCAGTTTTAAAGAGTCACATGACACGATCATGATTCTTTGAGAGTGAGGTGTTTTGGAGACATCCCACACAGGGCTCCATCTAAACACGGGGGAAGGGGTAGGTATAGAACTCTGCTGTTGGTAATGATACTGCTGCTATCTCCAGGGAGTGACAACAGTCTCTGGAGGGGTCATCCACCAGGATAAGAAGGCCACCCCAACAAGCAGGCTATGGACACTTGATTGCAGTCAATACTCAAGCCAGCCTTCCTATGGCTCTAGGACAAGAAGGAAGGAACACTGAGAACCCTACTCTATAAGTTCTTACTTTGGGTTAGGAAAAGGAAACAGGGCTGACTATATTTGCATCAGTCAAACAGACCTGGAGTAAAAAGCAGTCCCAAGAGGAGAAGATCATTATATCATGAAGAAAGGTCAACTCACTGGGAAGCTATAACGATTAGACATACACATGCACCTGACACTAAGCACCTAAACATATAAAACAATCACTGAGAAACAGGCACCTGGCCTTGCAATGTGAAATGGAGTTCAGCATCATATGATCAACCATCCCACCAGCCTCTTTGCTTTAGTCCTTGGGAGAAAGGTCAAATGTTCCACTGAGTTGTGGGTTCCAAGATCCCCACCCACCTTGAAGGTGACTGAACACAGCCAAGCAGGCTTAGCCAGGTCTCCGTGCATGAGGGACCTCTGTGCTAGCAGGCCTTGGGCCAGCACTGAAGACAGAATGCTAGAAAGAGCTGAAAGGGGTGGACAGTGCTATTTCCAGTTCCTAACTGATGATTTCATTAGTGTTAACCCTGGGGGTTGTCTTCAAGAACACTGTCTTAGTTACTTTTCATGTTGCTGAGACAAAATACCAGACACTCAATGTTAAGGGAGGAGAGATTTATTTGGCTTGCCGTTTGTAGAAGTTTCAGTTCAGAGTCAGCTGGGTCCAAGGCAGGGTGGCATGGCAAAGGGGCACCACAGAGCAGAAGACACCCAGCAGCAACAGTATTCAGGAGTCAACAAGCAAGGACCCTCTTTCTGCCCCTTGTGTCTTATCCAGGCTACCAGCCTTTAGGGTGGTAGCACTCACATCCAAGGTGAGGCATCCTTAATCCTACCCAGTGCTACACCAAATCAATCAGTGGACCAAAATAGTAATCACACACACTTAGTCCCAGCATCACAAACTGTGGATACAGGCAACTCTGAAAAAGCCCCACCTATGACTACGTGAGGCTTTGGGGGGACACAAGCCATAACATTTTGCCCCTGCCCCCCCAAAACTCATGCGCATCCCTTTATGCAAAAGGCATTTAGTCTTTCCCTAAGAGTTGCCAAAATCCTAACGGTTTCAGCATTGCTGAAGAGTTCAAGTCAAAAGTCTCCTTTGAGATTTAAGGCACACTCTTAGCTGTGAGCTTCTCCAGGGAAGGCAGTCAAAAATCTCCCAGCACACAACAGCACAAGATAAACATTACCATTCCAAAAGGTACAAATAGGGAGATAGAAAGGAACAGGACCAAAGCAAGTCCAAAATCCAGCAGGGCAAACACTAAGTCCTGTTCAGCATCCCCAGCAATCTGTGGCAAGACAAGATGTGAACGCCGAAGGCTTGGGTGGTTCTGCCCCTAGGGCACTGCTGGTGGTAATAGCTCCCATGGCTTCTCTCTTGGGCCTGCTCTGCTCCCTCCCTCCAGGTTTCCTCGGATGATCCACACTCCTGGCTTCTCCAAATGTCTGGGGTCTCCACTGCACCTTTGACTTCACTCTCATAGCTGAGAGGTCATGAGCGTGGAGATGCACATGGGACCTGGCCCTGCCGCTGATGCGGTCCTGCGACTGCAACAGAGCTGTCTCCTGATGTAGCTCCTACCCAGGCCTTAGGACCGGCGTGGGCTGAGACCTCCCTTCTCTTTGCCTGGTACAGCCTGACTGGCTCCCTTGCTGCCCCAGGAAGTGCTCCCCAACGTGGGGCCGCCTGGCTGTCCTCCCTGAGCACATGTCCTCACCTGCACTCCCGGAGCTGGGAACAAGGCACTCTCACTCTGGTGGCACCCTGGAGCCCTAGGAAAAACTTTTGTGACAGTGCCACCCTAGCCCACTTCCACACCCAACCAGGCTGGTCTGGCCGGGTCAGGGCCCATCTGCTCCCTGGTGGTCCTGTGGAAAACCCAAACACCTTGCCTAGTGGACACGGCACACCAGTTACCCAGGGCTGCACAGGCAGAAGCCTCAACCAGGTGTCTCTGAGCTATTCCCAGCCTGGGCTCTGGGGGCACCAGTGGACAGGACAGCTGGAGGGAAAGGCGGGAAGGGAGAATGACTACACAGCAGAGCAGAGTGGACCTCACGGTCTTTTTGGCATTTCTTTCTCAGGCATAGTGCCAGCGAGGATGCCTGCTGGGAGGGCTTTGAGTTGGTATTGCTGGAGAAGCTAGACTGGCCTCGCTGGCTGCGGGCAGAAGGGTGTCCCCTGAGTGGAAGAGGTGAGAGCTGGGTACTCGGGCGAGCACCCCACAGGCCGGCACTCCCTCCCAAATGCCAGCTTCACGTGCATGGAGGTCATGTCAGCTCCCACGCACCTGAGGTTTCCAGACTGCCCTCCGGTTAGCTGCCCCCTCACCAACGAGTGCCTCTGTTTCTGAGGCCCTCATCTCTGGCCTCACCTTCCTCCTCTCCTTCCAGTGACGCTTTCAGAAAGCATGGCTGAGCAACAGGCTCCTTTACCACCTGCACCCTGGATTCCCCTTCTGGGTCTACCACGGCTTGGTGTCACCTTGCCCAGGCTTCTGAGGAACCCGCACACTTCCCACCTCCCTCTCTGTGCCCTGCTCTGCCTCCTCCCCTCGGCCTGGCCTTGTGCACTGAGGGCAGCTGCTGAGAGCTTTTGGGATGACTCTGTCTTCATGGCTTTTTCTCCCCTTTCCCCCTGCCCCATGTGGCCTGGCTCTTCCCTGACTTTGAGCATTCACCTCTAGGCAGAGGGTCTTTGAAGCTGTTTCTGGAGCTTCCACCTGCTTCAGCTCGATGGTTTGGAAATGATGCAGGTCATCCCCTAAGGGTTCCTGCATTGAAAATTTGGTTCCCTGGGGCACTGGTGTTAAAGGAAGCATTTCTGCACCTCTGGCCCAGTTTTGGCTTCTTGTCTGGCAATGGGCTCTCCCACACTGTCACCATGACGCCACCTACCACGAAGTACACAGCCAGGGGACCCTCACCAAAGTCTGCACTGCACCGCACATTTAGCCTCCAAAACCATGAGCTAGGAAGCTGCTTTATTAAGTACCCACCCTGAGCTATTTCAGTACAGTAACAGATGACAGACTAACAGAAATCCTGGCTCATGTTCCCTCACCGGTAGCCGGACCACTTTGCTTCATGTATCTGCCGTTTCTTCAAACTCAGGAAACCTCAGTACCCGCCTTTCTCCTGAGCTCTTCCTGACGCACACATTGCAGACCCAGCTCTCTCCTGAGCCTTCTCTCCCCTTGCTCTATATTATTTTCTGTAATAGTAATCAACCACAGCAGTCACCAGGACACTAGCCAATATTCATTCAATAAGCACCTACTATTCTGTGCATTAAATTAACTAAACTTCCAATAAGGACATAGGCGTATCCTAAGATGGTCCCATTGTACACCTGGGTCAAGTTAAGTATCTCAGCCAGCTTATCCAACTAGAAACCGTGGGCTCCACAGCCTGCTAGAGCCAGTGCTAAGAGATCCACTAAAACAGTGGCTCCCTGAAGCTCCTTGAAGGCCGGATTGAAAGCTGCTGCTGTGGGATTCAGTTCTCTCCACAGTGAATCCAACCCACATAGGCGACGAATGTGTGAAGAGTCATCTGAGCTCCTGGACACTGTGTCCTGCAGGATCTCATGGGAGATCCCTGGGTGAGAAGGGAAGAAAGACCTCGAGGCTGGTGCAGTCTGTGGGCAGGAATGTCTACATCTCCCGTCCTCTTTTGGAGGAGCTGGCACTGTAAGATTACTCCATGAGCACCCACAGAATATTCTCCCCAGAGGTTACCTCACCATCACAATTGTTACTTCTGGACAAGGTGTCTTTGGAACCCCAGTGCCTGGCCTGGTTTGGGGCTTCACAGAGGTGCTGGGGATGGGGCCATGTGTGTGAACTCCTTAGGTAACTGCCAATGGGACCTGCAGGAAGCAGCTCGAGAGTGGACAGGAAGAAAACCCACGCAGACAGGTTATGGATGGGTAGGTGGGTGTTCTCCTCCCGAATCTTGCAGATTATAAGTTAGGAGTTACACCTTCCCTCACTGGTTCCTTTAAGGAGTGAGCTAACATTTCCCAAGTTCTGGTCCTCAGGGCCATCACGTGGCTGCAGATGTCTGCCGGCTTCACCACGCAGTCTCTTTCCCTGGTGCACCCCCAGAATCCCTGGGTGCCTCCTGGGAGCTTGGCACAGGCAGCAGCACTGGATGCATCAGTCAGTCACCTGTGAGCTTGTGCCTGGGACCAGGACTGCCCCGGGGAGGAAGCCCCACATCCTCCAGACCGTGGCACTGAGCCTGTGGAGTTGGCTGACGTGGCACATTAGAGTGGCTGAAGCCTATGACTCTTGGGTCCTTCATTCCCAGGAAACCATTCTGCACAGCTCCCACCTGCAACTCAACAAGCCCATCCAGACACACGTGTTTCTCTTCCATATATCGGCTGACACCTACTGACTGCATTTATAAGCATTATCATTATTATTAGGAGAATTTCCAAGCAGACAAGAAACCAGAAAGAATGTATAATCACCTCCCAGGATCCCACTGACCAGATTTAACCAGGACCATGGTACCAACAGATGGTCAGTCCTGGTCTGTGTGTCCACCTCTGTGGTCTTTGCATTTTGGAGCCAGGAAGGGGACCAGACTGTTAAGCACAGCACACTTGTACGTACACACACACACACACACACACACACACACACACACACTCATGGGCCTTGCGGGGGCATTGTCTCCTTTCTTCTAAGTAGAGTGAAATAAACATGAAAATGAGAACTTTTGTGTTTCCTCACTGTACTACATCCAGAGCATGGTGCAGAGCCCAGCAAACAATTGCTCAGTGACAAATTGAAAGAAGGAGGGGGTGAGCTTCTATCTTGGCCCCTCTGCCTGGCTCCAGCTTCTCCTGCTCTCTGGGACCCTGTGTGAATGGCCACACATGCCCCACCATGGCCTTGCCTTCTCCGGGCTGCTAGAAGAGAAACACAGTCGCTCCTCATCGAAACACCATTGCCACAGATCTACAGTGGCAGGATCTTAAGAACCAAAAAGCAGCCACAAAGGCTCAGATGGGGGAAAGTTCCTGAGAAGGCACACGTGTGGCAGAGAATACTCAATACATATTTCATAACTGTGTGTGTGGTTTATCAAACACAATGGCAAGCGCAGAAGCCGCACGATACTCACATGCAACCACGAAACCGACTCAGGTCATTGTTCGGCTTCTCACATTCAATCACGCTGGTGAATGTCAAAGGGTTGAATTCAGAGACCTAAAATAATAACATGCATACATTAGAAAAATCTGGACGCGAGCTATTCTATTCTGAGAGGCATTTGTTTTGCTCTTCTGCCTATGAGTATCTGCAGAATGTGAATATACACAGTACTTCACCCATTCTAATCTTTACAATGAATAACAATTCTTAAATGAACACCAGTTAGTAAGTGAGCTGAAGTGATTATAGCTCGAATGTAAAATAAAAAAACATGCGATAACCGCAAAGGAAGCAACCAGTGGTAGAAAGGGATGAAAAGCTTTGTTTTTTTTGAGATGGATCAGCTCCTTCTGGTTTTCTCCATAAATTTAGAGAAGCAAAGCCATCTGCAAAACAGGAACCTGTGCACTAAAAATTCTTCACAGTCCTTTGCTGGCAAACATTTAAATAGCCAAGGTGTGAGCCAACAACTTCTTATTATCCTGCTCCACTAATGGAATGACGGTTCCCTACAGGAAGAATCTTTAATGTGGAGTTCTGCCACTGGTAGATAAACAGTGCCTGGCTCACATGGAGAGAGCAGAAGTGGAGGAGGAGGAGCAGCGGAGGGGACACACGGAATCAGCCTTCAGTATGAACAGCTGGAGAAGTCAGTGGAGTTTTTTATCAGCCTCTGTTCAGACTGTCATTGCATTTTCTCTACCACGTGTCACAATACCGTCAACACTGAGCTGTCGTTGTTCACATGTGCATACCATCAAGTGGATAAAACCTCCCAGGAAGGGCATCACCACCTTTGGCACCACTACAGGTGCTTGTTCTCCACAACAGCACGGTTCCCTCACAGAGGATAGCTATAAGATATACTCAAAACTCTCACTGAGCTGGTTTTCCAGTATATGATGTGCATTATAGAATGACTTACTGGACAAGAGCAGCTCAGTGCAATAAGTGAAACTGCAATGCTGTTCTGTGGTACTGCAGCCTGAATTCAAGGCCTCGGCTTCACATATGCTAGGCAAGCACTCTGCCAACGGGACACGTCCCTAACCTATGAAGTTCTGCCGTAAAATGCTCTCATTCAAGTTCTGCAGTCATCAGCCCTTCCCCTTGGACTGAAATGGCTTTGCCCTCTGTTTGTAGAATGAGGGTCTGTTTCAGAGTTCTGTGTTTATTTAAAGCTGTGTGTATTATCTGGAAGTCAGGGCCCTGCTTCCTCCAGGACAGACATCTGCAGACACAAAGTATAAGACGGCCATGAAGGGAGTGAGTTCCAGAGAATACCACGGCTGCTCTTGGCAGAAAGGAGGGGAGGACTTAAAATGTTCTGTTTGTTATTCTTTCTAAGAAAAATGTATACGGCTCAGCAACTGCAGGACATTCTGTCTCTGGGACTGTCCGAGAGAATGAAGTCCCACCGCAGCCATGCACACCCGCACGGCGTGCCCGGCTTCTTTCTGGAACAGGGGAGGATTTGAAGGACTTTCAGTACTGGCAGGATCACCACAGACTGTTATGGCCTGAACCGCACTCCCCTCACTCCCAGAACCCACACACTGGAGCTCTAACCTCCAGCGCCTCATGACGTGTCCATATTTAGAGACAGGGCCCCACAGAAGCAGTTCAGCTACAGTGAGGTCATGACTGCGGCCCTAATCCAGGAGGACTGGACTGTGAGTGGGCAGAGCCGTACACAGACACACGCAGAGGGGCCACGTGGACACAAGAGGCGTCAGCCACCCTCAGGCCGCGGAGGGAGGCTCAGAGGAAAGCAAACCTGCAGACACTTGGGCTTCAGGCTGGAGCTGCAAGAAAATCACTTCTGTTGTCTAAGTCCCCGGGCCGTGCCAGCCCTGGCAAACTAACACGGAGACCGCTTCTGAGTTTCCTGTTTTAGCACAGCTTCCATCCGGAGCACCATTCAGATGGGCAGACTTCTATTTACGTTGATGGCTTCTCACCACAGGTGATACTGCAACACACCCCCATCTAAGAAAGACACGAATTTATCCCTTCACCCTCCACGTATCCACCTGCTGCGTTCCAAATGAGCCCTGGGCCACACCCTTGGGACGTGTCAGCCAGACTTTCACCAACGCTCCTCCTCCCCTCGCCTGTGCTTCCCAAACCACCTTCTGCTCTGAGTACACTAACTTTGGTTTTAGACAAACATGGCTGGATGGCGATGTACATGGACTTAATGTTTCTGAACCACACACTTAAGAGGGTTTGGTGAATGTGTGACCACAGTCAAAGAACCTAAAGAGCAGGTGTAAAGGAAACACTGAAAACACTGGTAAACGGACTGATCATCAAGGAGAACATAGACCGACATCCGGGACCTTTCAGTACAAGTACAAGAAGTCCCATGCTTATTATTCCTGCTGCTGCTGCTGCTGCTGGGGTCTGAACCCAGGGCTTCACACAGGCTAAGCACCAGCTCCACCACTAAGCTCCACCCCCAGCCCCTCTAAGTCATTCCTGAGGACACCACAGAGCTACACTGTGGCCATCACCACAACACAGTTATGAGTCTTTAGCAGCCTGCCAAGTGCCAGGCATTGTACAATGTGCGCTGCTACCTCGCACTGTGGCCGAGAGGTTGGTTTTGCCTTATTTGCAGTTTGGGATCATTAAGGACCACGGCCAAGTGCACAGGGTCCTTGCAGTGACTGATCCAAGCTTCTGTGGCCTCTCAGACCCCTGGCTCCACCCTGGACACACACTGAGATGATACTGCCTTAGCAGAGAAAGACCACGGCATGTCCAGTAAACCAGAAAGCGTGCAGTATTCCAGACAGATTTCCAAAAAGGCATCAAACGCGTTCCAGAAGGCACAGTTCAGTTTGACGCACCCCGGCTTGAGTGCCGATGTCTCCCTCCCATAGTCAGCAAAACCTGCAGGTGTGCGGCTAACAAATTTCCACCCACAAGTGAAACAAAAATCAAGAGGGCGAGGATTTCATTCCCGTTCTCCTGATTACCAACACGAGACCTTCAGCACATGAAGAGGGCATCTGGACACGGCCTGTGGGTCTGAAAACCTGCGGACCCACAGCTCCCCATGCTCCGTGGTGAGCTCGCTGTCGGGGCTCACTGCCGCGAGGCGGTGCTTCTGTGACAGCTGCTCACACGCCAGGCTTCGGGCCACTGCTTCGGGCGTGGCTTGGCCACAGCTCCCCAAGCATCGGGGTGCAGCTGGGGTGAGAGGGCCTGCCCCCTGCAGAGTGTGTGCACTAAGGCTCGTGCCCCCCTGCCCCAAAACGCTAAGTTCCTGCTGTTTCCCTTCAAATACTCCAGACACTTTTGGGATGGGAGGATTTGGGGCGGCCTTGCTGGGTGGAAAAGTAAAGGCATAGTGGTGGGTCAGGATGCAGCACCGCCCCGCCCAGATTCAGTAACCCCAACAGAAGTAACAGCTGTGTCTTTACTGAAGAGATACAGGCTTTTTCTTGTCATCATTCTCAAAATGATACAGTGCAACTAAAACACAACGTCAGTGCGCACGCAGGACGTGGCCTCAGATAATGTGGGTGGCGGCTGTTGCCTTCCAGGAGGAAAGCCACGCCCATCCCACCTCGCTGCTCTCCTGGGCCGCCAGCACTCCAGCATCCCACCTCACCACGCACAGAGCTCCTCCGACCTCTCGCACCCCGCACCTGGCCTTGGCCTCTGTGTGTCAGCGAAGCCATCCCCACGGCGCTCCACACTGGGCAGGCAGAGGCCGCTGCTCAGCGTTTCCGTGGCCCCGTGCAGACGTCCAGGCTTAAACGGCACCACAGGTGGCCGGCGCTAAGCTCTCCTGCACACGCCTGTGGGTCAAGGGTTGATCGACGACTATTGCAGAAAAGTCTCGGGCACCACAAGGTCCCAAACAGTGCCCGAGCTCTGTGTGTTATGTCCTGCTGGTTACGTGGCGTTCAGTCAGGGGCTCTCACCCCATACAGGGGCTGGGAGGGCTCCTCTGATGTCCTAGGAAGCACAGTCTTCCTCCTGCAAGTGCAAGCTCACCTCCCCTGATGGCAATGTAAAAGGATTCCTTGCAGCCTGTAATCTAGCTACTTACTTACTGACAAGGGGTGAGGGATACCTGAACTAATTCAGGCAAAGCATTTTGACCCGCATTACCACATAATTACCCCAACTCTTATTTTACACTTTGAATCCGATCTGTATTCACCATGAGCTGGGGAAATCCAAAGGATCAGATGGCCTAACACCAAATGAGTGAATGAGTGGATGCATGGCTTTCCAGTATTTACTCACTGCGAAGAATTATTGTTACATCAAGGTCTTCAGTCGTAACCAGAAAAAAGCAAAGTCTCCCCTGCCATGCAGTTGGGGCTCAGCCCTGCTTACTAAGTGGGTGAATGCCCTACTAGACCCACAGCAGGTCTTCTTGCACTGCCAGAAGATATCAAATATACAGAGTCTTAATCCTTTTCCAGTCACTTCCACAGATGCAGCATCTGCACTCCCAGTTGATGCCCCAATCAATATTGAACAGAAATGATCCCAAAATGCATTGAGTTTTCCCCACAGCGTCCATAGCTGCAATCCTGCTATGTAAGTGTCCTAAACACAATCCCGCCCAGGGAGACTGGCTCGTAGACCTCGGCAGCGCTGGGCTGCAGGCACATGATGCAGCGCATGTGTTTCTGCGTGTGTCACACCCTTACCAACACCATCCCCGTCTCCTGGGTAACGCAGCTCACAAGGACGATAGGTGAGGATGACATCCAGACCTTCCTGGCCTTGTCTGGGGAACGACGTCACACACGTCTGCACCACAGGTGGCTTCCGCGAGGCTCAGCACTTTGGGGACACAGCGCAGGAGCTGCCTGGGCTGCTGCTCTTTTTCCTGACCGCAGATCTTCCTGTTCTGAGCACAGCATTAGCGATCCGGTGGTTTCTCCTCTGTGTGTGAGCACGAGGCGGCCCTTCCCTCCCCGAGTCTGACCGGAGCCTGGAAGCCGCTTCCCCTTCCAGTGCTCCGCCTCAGAGCTTTGCATGTAGATGGGGGCAAAATTCAAAGGCTCAGGGCATGAGTTTGA